GTGCGAGGCTCAATCTGTTGGCGAGTACATAAGCCTATAAAGGAGGAGAGCATACTGGTCAAAGGTCACTCTTATTTTTTTATAACCCCCTGTATCCATACAACTACCTATTATAAAAGGACCTGCTTAACCTATGCTAACCATTAAAATGTTTCACCAGTCCTAATAGACCCATCATCAGCTATAACAAAACCATAGGACACATCTAATTTAACTTAATCATTAAGAATGAACCTCACCCCCTAATGTTCCACAATCTTGACAAGTCCAAATCCTAATACAGTAGACTCAATCCTAACAAATGAGGCTTATCAAGACTAAGGCCCACACAACCTGTAACCTGCTTCCATTCTTTTCCCAAATGGTACACTAATATCTCTATTGTATTGTTGATATGACAGTCATACCAATAGACAGATCTCAGGACACAACAAAAACTTCTTGATGGACCTCAGAACTTGATTATATTGAAAAGTGACTCAACATTAGGAATAACTATTCAGGTCTTACACTGCTTTGAGTGTGCAATCAACACAAATTGACAATGACAAGAATTAGGTGGAATCTCTACATATAAATATGGAGGATTCTCTAAGCTCTGATCTAAATATTCACGACAAACACAAGTGTCCCACAAAGCTCTGTATGTCTCTCCAAATATCCTTCAAAGGTCAAACTGGAAAACAAGCTAACCTAACCTATCTAGATCTACCTGGAAAAGAAGTTTCTAAAAACAAAAGTGTTGCTTATTGTAAACAATTCTGTTGCAGCTGCTTGCTAAGTCACTATGAAAATGATAATGCTTAAAATGATGGAGGAAGGAAAATAATAATGTAAAACAAAGCTATTACCATACAGATAATGATATGAGGTGATGAGTGACAATGACAATTTCCTAGTGATGGTAGTATAAATTTATTTTGAATAAGCTAATACTCATGTCTGAAGCACAAGTCACCAAAACATCATACCAATCACTCTAGTCAATATATTTCTACCTATCTACTATCTTTATTCTTCTACCACTATTTCATGGAGTGAATCGATGGGTGCAAAAACCTAAAAGAAAGAGGTGGGGGAATAATTGGGGAGAGTACCGTATTTGGAGGCGAAAATTAATTAAATGTGTATACAGGCGTCCTTCAATATACAATCTACCAACTTACATTTCTTCAATTTAACGATTTCAATTTCTAGTACCATTTTGTCACAATACGATTAGACTTCCTCAGTTTAACGATTGCTGTCAGGAAATTGAAAGAAAAAATCACTCCCTAGCAGCCGCAGCTTTCTTGTCAGCGCTAATGAATCTTACTCTGTCTTGTATCTTAAATTACATTAGACACAATTAACAATTTCCTAGTGAGTTTTCTTCCCAAAGGAACACTTTTTATTGAACTTTTTTTGGTCTTGGTTTCATGAAATCAAAGTTGTATAAATTCATAAAATAATAAGATACAATGAACACAAGTAAGCATTGTTTATACATATAAATAGCACCAGTTTTTTACTCGTTCGAACACTCACTATGGTTACAACTACAATATCAAAATATCAAGCTTTAAAACATATAATACTGTTTATTACTCATCATAATTTTGTAAATTTAACTACCCTACAGTATTAATTTTAATATAGTATAAAAAATAATTATATTTAACATTCTAAATTACTAGTAAATATTCACAATTACTAATGCTGGATAAAAGTGTTCCATAATCTGGGTGCTTAGCCAAGAAGCAGCTTAAATCACTTTTTCTCATCATATAACAAATCAATTTCAATAAAACCTTACTATTTGAACATATTAATCAGTAAATATTGAAAAGAATTTTTTTTTTATTTAAGTGGGAGTACGGTGGGTGACATCCTCGCTGTAATGTTTGTACAGGAACAAGATCTGTCTCTCTCGTTCTTTGTGCTTACAAGTCTCTTAAATGTTGAGAAACAAAGTATTTTTTCTCATAGTTCACAGATTTTTGGCATATTTTGTAAAATCCCCACTTTGACTGACTCTGGGAATGTAACCCTTTTGACACCTTGATAAAAACGCGTTCAGTATATGTTCGTTCACTTAACAACCTGGCTTTCAGGAACGCAACCTGATCATATATCGAGGGATGCCTGTACAGTACTTAACACGCAAGTTGATCAAAAGAACAAATGTACTACTGTAGTGTCCTTCTGTTTGTTGTCATAACCCCTTTTGTCACCCTTTACAAATGTCTTACACTGCTCTACTGACTTTATATGAGGCATCAAATTCACTTGATCCACCAGACACAAAAGTGGAAGAAGAGCAAGACAGCCAGTAACAAATTCTTGGATGTTGATGTAGTTCTCATATCATAAAGCTGCTGCATTCTGGTTGTTCCATATTCAAAGATTACAAAATATATAAGTCTGCCTTAAAAAGCTGATAAGAAAAAATATGAAATAAAGAAGCCCTGTAACAAAATAAATGACCTTAAATATGAAATCAGGGAACAATGAATTATAAATCAGGAAATACTACAGCATAGTACCACAACATACCAGGGAATGTAACATGATAGCAGGGAACGTTACATGATACCAGGGAGCCCTACAACATACCAGACAACCGAACAACATGATACCAGGGAGCCTTACAACATGATACCAGGGAGCCATACAACATGATACCAGACAACCCAACAACCTAAAATTTGGGACCCCTCTAATGTGATATGAGGGTCCTAAAATATTAAATAGAAGTCCTAAACAAAAGAATAAGGGGGCCTATAACATGATACTAATAAGACCTAAAGATTAAACAGAGAAGCTCTTAAATATAAAATAGTCTATCAAGAATATCTAACCCATAAAAAGAGCTCTAAAACAGGAAATAAGGCTGCCCTAAATATAAAATATAGTAGCTTGAAAATGAAATAGGGAAGCTCTAAAATATGATATAAGAGAGTCCTATAGTGGAAGCATAAACACCCCCCCCCTCAAAAAAAATACGGAAGTGCTAAAATGTGAGGTACAGAGTCCTAAAATATAAAAATAAGGGACCCTTAAAATTTGAATTAAAGGAACCCTAAAGCATGAAACATGGAGCCCTACAATATTAAGTAAATTGAAGAATGAGAGAAAAATGAATGATGTAATGTATTGTCTGGGTAACACATGTACAGGCAGTCCCCGAGTTATGAATGCCAGATTTTATAACACCTGCACTTACGAAAGGGATCCCAATACAGTATGTATATATATATATATATATATATATATATATATATATATATATATATATATATATATATATATATATATATATATATATATATATATATATATATATATATATATATATATAACTAAAAATCTCCCCCCCCCCCTTTTTATTACATTACTTTCATTATTCTATATTGTTTATTATCACTTTATTTACAGTACAGTATTTATTTTAGTTGTTTTGTCTGGGCAGGGTTATGCTTTAACTTAACCTAAACTATGGAATTAACACTGTTCCAACTCATGAACAGGGTAGAGAAATGTAACCATTTCATAACTTAGGGACTACCTGTGTGGAAATATGTATCAACGACCTGTTCCTCATCTTTGTAATAAAGTATATTAAAAATTTATTACTAAAATATAAAAAGACAAACACAAAATGTGATTTAACACGTATTTAAGTATAAATTATATGGTAGTGATTGAGTACACATGTAATGAGATGCAAACGAACTATACAGCTGAACAAGTTGTATGATAGTGGACAAATACGCCACCTATGATGATGATAAGTGAAGTTTAACCCTTAACAGGCAGCCAAGGATTCCCTACTCCACTCCCAGATGTGCAAAAATGGAAAACACGTGAGGGTTACTGTCCCTATAGCTAATAGCCACTGATGATGGCTACTGTCCCTATAGCTAATAGCCACTGATGATGGCTACTGTCCCTATAGCTAATAGCACACTGATGATGGCTACTGTCCCTATAGCTAATAGCCACTGATGATGGCTGCTGTCCCTATAGCTAATAGCCACTGATGATGACTGCTGTCCCTATAGCTAATAGCCACTGATGATGGCTACTGTCCCTATAGCTAATAGCCACTGATGATGGCTACTGTTCCTATAGCTAATAGCCACTGATGATGACTGCTGTCCCTATAGCTAATAGCCACTGATGATGACTGCTGTCCCTATAGCTAATAGCACACTGATGATGGCTACTGTCCCTATAGCTAATAGCCACTGATGATGGCTACTGTCCCTATAGCTAATAGCCACTGATGATGGCTACTGTCCCTATAGCTAATAGCCACTGATGATGACTGCTGTCCCTATAGCTAATAGCACACTGATGATGGCTACTGTCCCTATAGCTAATAGCCACTGATGATGGCTACTGTTCCTATAGCTAATAGCACACTGATGATGGCTACTGTCCCTGTAGCTAATAGCCACTGATGATGGCTACTGTCCCTATAGCTAATAGCCACTGATGATGGCTACTGTCCCTATAGCTAATAGCCACTGATGATGACTGCTGTCCCTATAGCTAATAGCCACTGATGATGGCTGCTGTCCCTACGGCTGCCGTTTAAAGGTTAAAACATGTCATGCAGTAGTTGATCAAACAAGATGTGCAAACTAAGCAGGACAAATTAAATGGCATTGATAAACACACCATGAGGATAATTGTCAACTTTGCAGCAGTAAGACATAAATAATCTCCAAGTGTAACAGCAGCAGCACAGACATCACAAAAGTTTTTTACTTACACAAACATTAAACAGATAATTTTACCATTAACCCATAATTTGCTGTATGACCCAGGATGGTGCATGTACAGTGTGTACGATGGTAACAGTGAATGGTAAATGGAGTTAAATTTACCACAATTATAAATTCAAATGAGAAAAATATAGAAATCAAGAGAAATAAATTGCCCTCAATCCTATTCAATTTAAAAAAAAAAAAAATAAAGGTAATGAAAATTACACAATGAAAAAAACAAATGTACATATTTATATAAACTTTACTTTGGCGACTATGCAAAATGCTGTGATGAATGGTTGGTGGAAACTTTTGAAGCACCCTAACACTGCCTCCATATGGGCCAAAAATTTTGAGTGCTGCTATCTGATATACATAAGAGCTTTAGATAACAATTTGATTGTCACTTCAATACACTAAAAAATCTTGGAGCATAACTGCATAAAAAAGGAGAGAGAGGGAGCTGATGGGCAACCTTAAAACTAACTCAGAATAACCCATCCTATGTCATCATAGCTTTTGTCATTCTTACAAGTCATAAAACACTTTACTTAGTCTTACTATGTTTAACCTTTACACATATGGTGCACCCCTTCAAGCCCCTAAATAATTCCTTGTCATAATAACATTAAATACCTCATTCAATACAAGGACATCTGTTTTGTATGTTATTTCAGTTTACTCCCTGAATGTTAGCCTATCTACCAGAGCAGCAGTTTACCTAGCACCAATTAAAAGTCAAATAATATAGAGTATTTGGGAATTACTTAATAACACTGGGTAGTCTACCCAATACAGTTAGTCAGAAATATGTACACCATATCAAGCAGTCTCAACTCCCTACCCATCCTCATCCATTACCAAGTAAAACCAAGGGAATCTGAAGACTAAATTCACCATTAAATTTACAGTCAGATTATAATTACAAATCTGAAATTATATAAAACAACTTTTAGAGGTCGAAAATTCATGACTTTGTAAATGACCATAAAAGCTTTGTACAAGCATACAGTGGACAACAGGTGTGAAGCATTGTGGAAAAGATTGTTACAATTACCTTGCTATTATGAAAAGCCCATGTCTCAGAGCATTATGAAAATTTCATACTGAATCTCAAAGCATTATGAACAGTGTCTCAAAGCATCATGAAAAGTCTGTGTCTCCAAGCATTATGAAAAGTTCATGTCAAAGCATCATGAATTCTGTATTCCAGAGTATTGTACATGAAAAGTCCAAGGCTTAAAGCATTATAAAAACCTATCAAAGCATTATGAAAGGTTTGTGTTTCAAAGCATCAATACAAAAAGTCTTGTTTCAAAGCATAGTGAAAAGTCCAAATCTTAGAGCATCAAGAAAGGCCAATTTTTTTCTTAGCATTATGAAAAGTCCAAGTCTTGAAGTATTAATTAGATGCATGGATACACACACTATGATGCCATGCCTCCAGAGAATATCACAGTGGGTCACATCCAAGCAACACAAGAGGCTGGTCTTGCCAGATGTCATACTCTGGGTTCCTGCAGCTTTACATCAACTATGGTTGTACATCTTAAGTATATCAATATATTCGGGTCACTAAGCCACGTTACACAAAGCTGCTTTACCCAAATATCTCTACAGCATCTCTCCATAATGTTCCACACCTGTCAGCCTATATTATGAATTGTCTGATAAGCTTTATCAGGTATTCAATTCATTTAGTGAATTTTTACTTGCTGGAAATAATTCTTGACATTCTGATTCTTCTCAATACATCTATCTAATAGGTGGATACTGAGATATTAGTCAACCAGTGCTTTCTCTTGTCATGAAGAAAGTACATACTGGTAATCTAAAAACACAAATATCTGGAGAGAATGAAACAGATCAATAAAGATAATAATAAAAAGGCATGAAAGACATTGTCACACACCAACTTGGCAATGCTGACAGCCCCATTCCTCGACAGATTTAAAAGGGTGATTACTCGTAAACACCAAAAAAGACTAGCTACCACAGCAGCTGTGACAACAGTGCTGGCAGGTGTAATATACTTCTTGGTCTTGTGTGATTACCCTCAAAAAACTGTGTACAGTTTAAATAAGACTGATAAAAACACAGCATTCCATACTTACACTTGTCATTCAGAAACACCTTTTCTAAGAACTTAAAAACAACTTCAGATTTTCCATCATCCTTGAGTCATAATTAACTTTTAACTTTACACACTCAGATCCATGTAACATAATGCTATTTGCCCATGGATACTTCATATATCATCTGGGGAAAAAAATAAGGGGAGAGGGGAACCAATAACAAAATGTTATCAACAAGACAATACTCTAATGGCTTTCTAAAGAATATGATGAAATATTCATCAGTTATCTCTTAAAAACCTACATTTGGCTTACCTCACCTTATATTACAGAGTTATTTATAACAGGAAAAACTTGCCCTCATTTTATTTCAATACTCTTGGTTAGCACATAAACACAGTCACAAATAACATGCAACTTGTTATTCGCAGTGGCCATTTCCACACAGACTTGTGCTTCGTCACTGTCACTATTATTTTTCTATGTAGAATTCCACATGTTCAGCACTTGGGTTAAAACATCGCTTGCACTGCTTGCGACAGCTGTGTCTAAAAAGCATCAAGCACTATAGTTACATATTTGATGAACATCAAAACAACCAACAAACCAGAACGCTGTCAAACAAATTTGGTGATATAACACAAAGATTTCAAAGTCTACGTTCCATTTCCATCATAGATTATTCAACAAAAATGAGAGTAGCTTAGTCTCATAGTGCTCATTGGAGTCCAATTGGCGTAAACAGTGACGCTCGTGGGGATATATCTGCCGGAAAAAATTATAAAATGGGTTGCATGTTTGAGTGCAATTAATAACATCAACTTAAAAAAAAAAGATGGATACATGTTTACCTCAGTAATCCATTTAGTAGCTAATATTAATCAATTAATAACCATTAATATTATTGAGCTGTGAATAATTAAAAAAAAAAAAAAAATCCCCCAAAATCATGCTTTGATATTTTAAAAAAGTGAATCTTCAAATCAAAGCTACCCACAAAGTCATTCTTAAATTTTTACCTTTAGATAAAATTATCACTATAGGTTACTATAAATGTTTACATTGTTCATATCACATAAAACACATGTAGAGAAACAAACTGGAAGAAAAGCAAATACACTGTACTGTATTTTAAGAACTCAACAGAGTTTACTTGTTTAACTTAAGCTGGACACAAATGCTAACATGAAAACCTAATGCTGATTATGATGTGGAAAACAACAAAAATGATAACCATGCCTAGATCACCAGGAGTATGATGCAGTCTCCACATTTTTGCAGGCAAACTAACAATGGGTTTGAAATCATAGAACCCAAGTATTATTTCTCAAGAAAATCTAGAGTCCCATCAGACTACTTGAAAATACAGTGTGAAAATGTTTTATGTCACTAACTTTTCCCTACTAAACTAAGGTTACAAATTACTTTCAAGGTCAGGACAAGTCGATAGTCTAGGTGTCTTTGTGACCGAGTACTACTGATCCATCAAACTTCTTGCCACATATTTTAAGCATCCCTGACTAGCTTAAGCACCATAGGAAAATTAATGGGTGATTTCTAAGGACAGGAAACAAGTAATTTCTCTTAAGATGTTTTGTTCATATATAATTTCTATTTCTTATATGTGTATTTTTTTATTAAATATGAGCTTGATAAATCTGGCTTTAAACAGTAACTCGAGAACCTGGAACAACACGATGAATGACATATAATTCTTCATACAGGCAGACGACCAGGAATGACAAAGTGCAAACCTACAGGCAGGATGACAATATCTTTTAAAGAAGGATTTCAAAATATTCAAGGTTTACACCATATTGTGATACTCACCTGGAGTTGGTACGGCTTTCCAGCCTTTATGAGAGCCTGAATTAACTGGTTGGTGTGTGAGAAATGGACATTTTCGTCAATCATCCCTTGTACAATAAGTAACCGGTTTTCCCTAAAAAAAAATAAAAAATAATAATAATAATAATAAAACTAATAATACTAACAATAACAATAATAATAATAATGAATACATCAAAAATGAATGAATACCATACACATCATTTATTTTATAAGAGAGGTAACAGATATTATTTGAAAGAAGAAGGGAGGGTACATTCACCTAATTATGGTAGGACAGAGCGTATTAGAGTACAGTACCAAAATTTTAGATCGCACTCACAGTAACATATGTGGTGTAAAAAAGTGTACCAACCACTCTGAAAATTTTTTGGAACATTAAAAATGCAGCATGGGTGGACCAAGCACTTGTTAGACCTCTAAACCTAACTCCTACAGACCAAAATACAGCGTACTACCTAAAATTGCATAACTTTACTACTCATAAGCACTTTAGTAGGGTGACAAGACCTAGCCCTGTGCCCAGATTTAAGCTTACCGATACTTTTATTATTGTGTATTAATTTCATAAATGTCACACTTTTATCAAGTTTCTGTAATGCAGTATTTCCACTTTTTTTTTTCATTACTGCTAGACAACAGAGTGGCATCACCAGGAACTATGAACAGGTTTCCATTTTCAGGATATTTGCCATATTGCAAAGAAAACTAAATACACTGAAATACTGGGAGTTTTTTAATACAAAATTTTCATGGTGCCATCACAAATTTACTATTCGTACAAAACAACCCAATCCAGCCAATGAACAAATCCCTTGAAAGGTTCTCCAAAGTGCAGAAAAGAAACAATAGCCTGTGACAGAATATTACCTGCAGTCCCATATCCCATGACAGGAAATTAATTTACTGTACAGGTCTTTCTTTTTATGAGGTTGACACCTTTAAAGAAGCTGGTTTACATTGACCCTAATATCAATTTATTCTTTTAAACTAACATTTGGTCATTAGAATACATACAACTCTTTCAAATCTACTTAAATAAAGGCAGAAACTCACCCTACTACAGTATGCTAAAATTACTAGGAACTACTGTATATAGCTATGCCAAGAGCTCCGTAAATCCTATGGTGCACTTAGCTCTCTCCGTAGAGACAATATCAGTTGACCCATATCATTTTTGCTGTTTTATAGCCAATTTACATGCTTGCTTGGCTTAGCTGTGATTATCTGATGGTAGATCTCCAAGCTGCACAGTCTCTTGCAGCCTCTCTTGTTTTGTCCTTATCTCTGAGATCATTTCTCAAAACCTGTCCCCCATGTCATTCTTGACCAACTCCTAGCTGTTCTCCCTTCCACATTCAAACTCATGCATCTTTTGACCCATCTGGTCTTCTCCAATCTCTGCATATGCCCAGACTATGTCAGCCTACCTCTATGCAAAACCTTGCCAATACTCAAAATACCCAGGTGCCCTCCTATTTCTGAATAGGATTTCCTATCTCCCAACATCGTAATTTAAAACATTCTTCTCACCAGTCATATCAACTCACTCAAGCCTATCTGTTATCCTCTTTAACTGCCATACAACATCACACTTTTCACACCAGTTGCATAAACCTTTCCTTTCAAGTGAAGAGAAGGTCATCTCACTGACAATAAAAGCAAGACTTCCCTAAACTTGTTTCAACTATCTCCAGCACTGGTCACGTCAACCAGGTCGTAGAACTCATTGACTCAATCCAGGGATATACTGTATCCCCAATGCTGAGCTTTTCCAACCTTGCTAAAGCCACATGATTACCTGCAAACACAGCACACTTAAAGTCAGCAACATGCTGTAGTCTGCCATTTGCACCACATATGTTCCCACTCTCCACACTCATTGCATGTTATTGAATTCCTGCCATCACCCTTCTTACAGGCAGCACATGGCCATTTTCCACCTTCCACTGAAGGACCTTTTTTCATGCCACTAATCATTACTTTTGTTTTCATCACATTCACTCCCATATCCCTTTATTCCATTCAATTTTTCTATTTCTTAAATTTCTCCACTATCTCTTCAATACTATCTGCTACCAGCACTAAGTTGTCAGCAATCAACAACTCCCAGGACAGACCAGTCCTAAAATCTCATGATAGTGCCTCCAATACCATGATAAACAAGAGGAGGATCAAGACACACACCTTTGATGAACCTTTCCTTTACCTCAAATTCTTCACTTTCCTCACCATTTACTCTCACAGAGGTTCTTGAGCCCTTAGATTATGCCAACCATTCAAACAAGACACTCATTAATTCCTAGCTTTCTCATAACCCACTGACACATGAGAATGTGGTGCATAATTCCTGTAGGCCTCTTCTCTTGCAATAATTCATCCCCAATTAGCTACATGGTAACTGTTCATAGAGCTGTGCCATGAAGACATCAGTTTTATCTCAGCAGGCAAGCTAGAAGGTACACTGCATTAGGCATTTAAAAATTGTGACTTGCTATCCATCTCACACACTCATGCCCTCCATAATGCAGTAATATTTGCCTTCAAAGTGTTTATAAAGTGGTTATTTGTTAATTTTTGTATTTCACATACTCAAACTTTAAACCATCATGTTTAAAATGCACAATACTGCCCCTCTGTCCATACGATAAACATGTACCATCCATCTGGAAAAGTGATGCTAAGTGTTGTGGAGTTTTCATAAGTGTTAAGTGTTTATACATTTATTTTATGATATTTTAATTGTTCAAACATATGGAGACTGCCTTGTCGTATATCGTACCTTCCCCCCTAATTGCAACTCCCTCAAGCATCTATTGCAACTCCCTCAAGCATCTACCATCACACTGAAAGGTAAGATTATTTTAAATACTGAAGAGTTTTATTACAGTAATATAATACTATAAAGATGTATTATTGTATACTGTACTATGTTACACTCCTGTATGTTGTACTATAACAGAACAGTACACAATGTAGGGATAGAATTTCTTTCTAAAATTACTTACAGCCAAATGATACGTGCTGGCAAAATTCTAAAACCACCGTAACATACCAAGACACTTTTACTAACCAATGGAATAATAATAAAAAAAACTAAAAAAAGTATGGCACAAACTAAAAAGTCAATAATTTAAAAAAAAAGTTGAAATTTGTTTTCAATTTATGGAAGAAATCAAAACAAGAATAGGGCAAGCAAAAACAGCTTTTAATAATCTAAAAGACCTAATACAAAAGGACATTAACTTCAATTTGAGAAAAAGGCCTCTGAAAGGCTTTATATGGCAAGGACTGATGTGGACACTTTCAGCAGACACCAGGAACAGGTTGGAGGCCTTTGAAATGTGGTGTTACAGGCAAATGCTAAGAATAAGTTACACTGACAGGAAAACAGCTGAAGATGTACTAAGATTAACATCTTCAAGAGAAATACTTGAAATGTACAGAAAAAGAAAATGAGATACAGTACTTTGGTCACATACAATACTGTAATTAGGGATGAGGGGATATTAACAGAAATATTAATGGGCAAAGTTGAGGGTAGGAGAGCCAGGGGAAGGCAGAGAATGGGATGGATGAATGAAAATAAAAAACTGGGTCCTCGGAGAGATACAAAACCTTGGAGGATTGGTAAAAACAGCCCAAGAACATTTAGAGTGTAGGAGTGTGGTCACAACTCCAAGATATGAGGACGGTTCTCTGATTGATTGATCATTACTCATATCGATTTTTTTATTTCACCAATATAAAGCAAAAAAAAATCAGTTTTTTGTTATCTAATACTTATTGTCTTTACTTCCAGATAGGTCATACAAGGTCATTCACCAAAGTGGAATCTCACCTTACTAAATGAACATTCTTTCAAATTTTCTTAAAAAATTACATGAAAATTCAGTACTTTTCTATATTAAAAGATCAATGCCTGAGAAAACAATGTCACATTTTCAACATTTCACATTGTGACAAAAAGTATCTGGAGTGTTACAAGTTTATAAAGCCAGAATATTCCCTTTATCATTTACTTACTCATCAGGTAAGTTGTTAACGTAGGAGAGGACGGAGCCATTACGGTATCCTTCTGGGTTGACACTGGGCAGATCCATGTAGCGTTCAGTGTACCCGGTGTCGTACAAACTCCACGAGACAACTGGAGCCCCAGCAATGGCCACTCTGTCAAGTCACTCAAAACTCAAATACTGTCTCAGTTACAAAGATGAAAATAGAAAAATTATCTGAATACTTGACAGGATACTATGACTCAATGGGGGATAAATAGTGAACACCTATGAGAGGATAAACTGATCAAATGAAGTAATATAGTTAAATGAACACACTCCCTTAAATGTTCACTCGTTCAGGTGTACCTTATGTTCCAGTTAAGAGATGAAATTAAACTACAAACAATTTGACAGTGAAGTACAAGACCACATCCATATATCAAATTAGTTCCTCCCTTTATCTTTTTCTGAAATATATTATTGAAGATAATAATTCATCAATACTTCCTAGAATGATAAGACACTAGTAGCATATGAAAGTCACTGTCTTTATCTACACTCATGGGTAAGTATCTTTCTCAATACTAATGGGTTAAGTTCCTTAGTAATTTATTTACTAGTGTTCCTCAAAAGGGATAACACCATCAGTTTTATAATACCCTGTACTGTAATATGGGAGGAATAAAATAACTTTCGAAGATGAATGTTCACTAGAGCAGGAAAAGGCCTACATAACAAATTAACATCAACCTTACTTGAACACGTCTGGCCGCTGCGCTAGGGCCATAAGGGAGAGGTAGCCACCGTAGGACCAGCCAGTAACAGCTAGGCGTGTCAGGTCCATGTAATCACACTGACCTGCCAGCAACTGCAATACCTCCACCTGGTCTTCTATTTCTACAGTACCCTACAAAACAACAATAGTTCACCAGATTTACAATTACAATGTTCAATCCAAAGGTGTAATGAATATAATTTTAGCACCTTTAGAGCATGTCTGAAGTGTTTCTACCAGTTGATTCAAAATTCTCATATTGTTTTTAAAGTATTCTTACAACAGTCACCTCACTGTTTCATCCCATATTTAGAGCAAGTTTTATGCCTGGATGCCCTTCCTATAGTTATCCTAATTTCACAGTGGGAATTGGGCATTATATATATGACTGCTAAACATCCTCTTAGCTGGTAGGCAGTGTCATAACTCTGAGGCAATAAATTCATTAATGAAATAACGTTTCAGGGATCAATGTTTGATTTAAAACTTGACTGAGGTCATATATCTAAAGGCCAGTTAGAAGCATGAGGCACCTGAGCCTCATTAGAAGCAAGGTGAATACACCACACTGTATACTAAGCTTTTGATACACAAAGAAGCAATTTAGCTGGCACTGTATTCAACCACCTTCACTTTGCCTAATTACAAAACATCAGTCTATGACAATTTGATGTTACCCCCCCAAAAAAATGTCTCATTTGTCCCATTTACAAACAAAAACCCCTAAGTTATGATTCATGTTTCATTATTTTTGTAATTTTTTCCTATGGAACAATGAAAATATGCATAATTAATACATTTTTTTACTACCAGTATTATTACTTATTTCACTAAGTTATTTCATCCTTCTCAAACACTCACAATGTTATTATGTCTACAAACAACTTACCTGTACAGCAATGCATGAAGAAGTGTCAAATGAGACACATGGCTGGCTAGTGATGGCTGGTGTACAAACATTTTAAGCCTCTATGTATGCAGAATTCTTTCTCTTAATATCTGGTTTATCTGTATCACTTATGCTCACTTCACACAACCTATTACAGTACTGTATCACCTACAAGCAACTTGTTGATCCTAATAAACCACTCAACTCCTCGCTCTACTGTCATACACACAGCAGGGATGTATATTATTGGCACTTACCATTCTGTTCATGAGGTGTGCCTGGAAACCTACACCACGGTTGTCTGAGCCTCGGGAATCAATGCTCACCACACAAAACCCGTGGGCAGCCAGCATATGGGTCCGCATATGTCTAAAACCCTGTTAGTGATAAAAAATCAAATTAACAGTAAAATGAAATTCTGATTAAAATATGACTTAAACATTATACTAATCTTACATCAAGTTAGCTGGATAGTTTTTTCTTTAGTGAGGTAAGTTTTTCTTCCTCCTGTACTAACACTGGACAATAAAGTTCATAACAAAATAACAAAGAACAGACAAACCACCCAAATAACTAGCAATCCAAGATCTATCAATCAATCAGAGTACCGTCCTCATATCTTAGGGCTGGCGACCACAGTCCTCAACTCTAAAATTTTTGGGGGGTTTTCACCAATCCTCCAAGATTTTTTTATCTCTGGAGACCAAGTTTTTAATTTCATTCACCCAGCCCAGTCTCTGCCTTCCCCTGGCCCTCCTACCCCCAACTTTGCCCATTAATTTTCTGTTATTATCCCTTCATCCCTAAGGATATGCCTAGAATATCTCATTTTTCTTTTTCTGTAGATTTCAATTGTATATCTTTAAGCTTTTGCAAACCTTAGTACGTCTTCATTTGTTTTCCTGTCAGTGTAACTTATTCTTAACAGGGTAATGGAAGTTAAAAATGAAAGTGAGGATACTTTACAGATGACGTAAAAAGGAGATATAAACTATTTTACACAGTCACTAGATACTGGAGATGAGAGAGGCAAAATTGTTCTATTTAGGATTCAATAGTTTTAATTCCAAGAAGAAAAATTAATAAGGGAGAGACTGGCATCTAGAAAATACTCCAAATTACTCCTTACAGGCCCCATCAAACATTTGTAATTACAGTATTATGATCTATATGTCTTGCCTATATTACCCCTATAATATCCAATTTCTTTATGATTCCATGTGTAGAAAATTTCACTAGGGACATCACACATAATACCCCTAGGGGTGGCAGGAATAAATTTCAAAAAATGGTACAAACTTTAAATGTATTTGTGACGAGCTGAACCTGTGGGCCACCATATATACAGAGAACAGTAGGGTATTTTCTTCCTGGTGTGAAGTTGTGTGGCTTAAACACCATGGAGTAGATTACGTCCCCACTGTTTATTCTTGTAGTGAAGACTTCAGGTACAACGAGGGATTTGATTTCTCTCAGCCCTTCTGATACTGCAATACAATAATTACTTATTAAAACCAAGGAAGAACAGATAGTTTTTAAAAAATCTAAGTTTAATACAAGAATGGTACATACCGTAAATGAGTACAATATATACAGTACAGGAATATCAATTCCCATGAGACTTTGTGCCTAATCTTGATATGAACAGCAACATTTCTATAAATACTTACTTAACTAAGAGATATTCTGTCCCCTAGTAACAGTGGTGGCATAACCTTGCTATGAAAAGATATGTTATCTTAAAACTACTTAAGCTAAGCATATACACCAAGCAATGTAATCAACCTGCTTCATTATTTCATCATACGGAGACATCTTAAAAAGATTTGCTGTCAAGGATTTGATTATCATAACACTTGTGACAGTTTCAGAGAATAATCACTTGATATGGAGACTGAAGAACAAAGCAAAATTCTAAAACACACTACCTACTGGAAAGAAGATTTTGAATTTGTTAAGGATACCAGTGCTTCAGAGTAATAACTGACAAAAATTTCTCTAATTAACCGAATACCAATTACAGTTTAACAAAATGAATTCTCTTAATTTGGGGGTTACAGTACTTCTGATTTTTAATGATATGTATTGAGAACTATATTATCAGCAAGATTCATATACCATAAACCATTAATAATGGAATACAACAAACAAATTTAAGCCAAACTTAAACCTAAAGTAAACTAACATTCTTGGGTTACTAGTACAGTATGTTGTTGATTAGGTTAGGTTATTTGGGTAAGGTTTGACTGATTCATCTTATCTGTTGTCAGATATAAAAACATGATGTTTATCAACACCTTGCTCGTTCATTTCTCCCTAAATTTAATAAGGGCCATTTTTTCTAATAAAAGTATTATCTTAATTAAGAGCATGATTATTTTTTTTTCACGTGGTTTTATTAAGCTGGCATTGTTACTTTTTACAAATATACTGTACAGTATTATCTCATAATCCAGCACTACTGAGACAGAGTATACTATATTTGGGAATTGTCCAGTTTTCTAAACAAGGAAACTTTCCCATGATCCTCCCCCCCCCCCCACTCATCCTTAAAACCATGAAGCATATCAATGTAAAGTTGTGGAGGTAAGGTAGAGTTAGTTTGTATGGGCCACAGCTATTAAGCAGAATATCCTTCACAATTACAGCAGCCTTAAAACATGGCACTGTAATAAGTTATTATGCCATTCAGCACATTCTTTCTACTATGCTTATGATGTGCTGAAAGTGTGCAATGTGATCACATCTCCTCTGACAATGTCATAAACTAAGTTTACAGTAACAGATCTTTCTCTCCAAACAACTTCTAGGACATCCCATGGAAGTGGGTGGGATTCAGAGTGCTTCTCACTGGCTGATATAAAATGGGTATTCAAAATCACACTTTCTCTTATAATGGAATAGTCTTGGGCCAGACACCACATCTGGTTTATTATTATCTAATAAAAAATAACCTGATCTATGCAGTGGATTTTTTTTCTCAGTGGAGGGAGGAGTTGACCCAATACTAACTTGCTCAATGAACACTTGAATCATTGACAAGTAAACACTCTTGCCATAAAATGCTACAAGATAACCCAGGATTGTGTGCCCATAGAACAGCCTACTGTATGTGTCTAATATCACAAGAGAACAAAAAGCTGTCTGCAATATTCAGGCAGGAGAAGCACATCTGTACCGTGTAGACTGATTGAGATTTAAAGTGACTGATCAGGCCTGAGCACTTACTAACCAATGTAAACAACAGGATGGAATTAAAGTCTAATGTTATGCTCATATCAAAATACTTAAGCCTTCTCCCCTTTCAGGATATCTTCTTATCAAAAGATATCCTTTGGATTCCCAGAATGAAGGTGGAGCACAAGATAATTAGTGAATTATCAAATTTTCAATGCCAGTCCAAACTGGGACCTGGAGTCTAGGGTTATGACCTCTACCCTTGTTAACTACACAGAGTAACTCGATACTTAAGTCGAAACCAAACTAATGTAGGTTATATGACACAAAAACACATATCCACAGTCAGACACACACAAAAAAAGAGAGAATAAGTCAGACGTAAGCATTTCCCAACTACAGGAGATATAAAGCAGTGATTAATAATAAACGAAAACAAACAGGGAACCCTAATACTCACGTGTTTCATTAACAAGGTCACCAAACACAGACACCCACACCAGCTGCCCGCTGTTGTTTTGTCCATCAAGCGGTGTTATCCTCAACACCTGGCTCTGTGATGGAGTCTCCACACTACTGTACACAGTTGTAAACACACTACAGTCCTGCAGTGCAATAAGTTACAAATATTGGTATCTTTTGTGAAAGTGAACTTTCATTTATAAGTATTGTATCATTATTACTTATATTTTAACTCTTTCAGGCTATTTTCCTCTTTGATGCAGGGTGGGCAGGATTGAGAAATCATAGATTTATTTATTTGCTGCCATTCTTTCATTCATACTGGTGCAACAGATGTGTTATGCATTGAATTATCTTTCCACAAGGCCCAAGATATCTATCTAGTTAGCCCATGTCACTTAACACAAGCAGTAAGTCCATCCTCAAAAAGCACCGCCTTTCTAGTTCCATTATTATTATATAATTAAGTAACTCATTACATATATAAGCAGAGTCTCACAAGGAATGATGCCTCTTAAGAATGTCCAGTATTCAATGAACAATCTGTACATGACTTACGTATTCCAATACAAAAAAATAGATGCACTGATTAGTTCTATTCTAACTGATTAGGCATAGATAATTTTTCTTAACCAAGCTGCTCTCTATCAATAAAAGTGAAACTTTTCAGTGCTCACTTCTTCTAAAATATCAAACAAACTTGTTGGAACATGCTCACATCACTATACTCCTGTACTGTATATGAGGCTACCGACGTAGTAAGGGCACAAGTGCCACCGTGCCCTAAATCGAGTTACCACCTCAGAAAGTTGTAACAAGGTTTCTTCTATCACAGAGTGTGTCTTTTGTGGATGGCTCAGCACCTGTTGTGAGTGAACGTGAGGCGAGTGAACCCAAGGATGGCCCGTCATGGGGCAGTAAACGTCTGTGCAGGCTTCACATGTGGAAGAGTAATGTTGCAAAAGGATTCGTAATGAAGGCAAGGCAAACACCAATCGTATGACCAAAAAAATTATTACCAGCAAGGCAGGTAGCTTCCCCCCCCCCACCTGTGCCGATGGGCATTTCATGAAAATCACCTTTTTCTCTATTTTTAAAAAATGTCACTTGTGCCCTTACTACTCTAGTGGCCTCATATATATTGACCACAAAGTAAACCCATTATATCTGCTGACCTCATTAAGAGCCACTTGGTGGGAGAAGCCCTGTTCTGTTAGTCGCTGAATGACTCCCTGCTGTGATATTGATGTAACATATAGGTGCTGCTCCAGGGGAGAGTCCCGCAGTCCAGTGAAGTACACCAAGCCACGTGTCTCATCCACCCACAGACTATTGCCCGTAACTGACCAGTCTCCTCTAGTTAGAGCGATCTTCTGAACTAACTGTGCTGACACCAAACCTGACAAGGAAGTAATAACTGAATTAGTTACAAAGGCAATTCATAATTGCAGCCAGTGCTATAATTCTGGTACAATTGGTATGGACTAGGGATTAATCAAATGTACAGTACTTGATACAACATAAATATATTAATTGCATGCTGCCATTAATTGCAAAAATTCCTATTTTTAATACAAATATAAATATATAGAATATTTAGTCTCCCAACCATTTTGTTCATCCTAATTTGTTTTTGAGGTTTACGTAAAAAAATACTAAAGTTTCCATTATATCATTCAATCCACTACTGACTTTACTTCACACAAACTTGTCCCAAATGTAATATCTTAATCATTTAATAAGTATATATGTAGATATTAGGGGTTCTGGTACAGATGGTTGAAAATCATCACCTTATTTCCCATTAGAACAATAGTTCACAACTGCCATGATTCTTTAGGAATACATCTGCCCACATTTGTGAGGGATGACTGTATACACTTCTAATCAATCTTTCTTTCACTTCCCAACAAGCTGTAGATCACTTCTAACTCTCCTTTTCACCTTGTTGATTATTCTCTTTCCAAATCCCTACATACTGTATACCACAATTACCATACTTTCACTTTACTTAAATCTCCTCATTAACAATATACAGTATTCAAATTTGATATTCATTAGCCAATGAAACTTTCCACAATTAAAGTTTCGTGGTAATTTACACATACACCCTGAAGGATGACATGCACAACTTACCTTGATCTTCGTGAGAGGGTTGATCCTCGGTGCTAGATGGAGGAGACAACTGACACAGTAACAGATAGAGGTGACGATGGCCCGTCTCTTCACTGGCCCATATCAACATTCGTTGGCTGGGATCTGCATGACTCGTCCACCAGTACAGGAGATTATGAACCTAAGACGAGTTTGTTTTAATCATGCAAGTAATTACTAGTCAGCAAAGCACATACATATGAATCCAGACTTTGTGTAAATCCTGAGCTATTCTTTTCCTCAGTTTCTGAATATGTAATATGGTTAACTCTGGAAAGGAGGTTCTAGTACTCACATCTATCCAAGTATTGGAGTGTTGGGAGACTATGACGTGAGGTGAGAGGAGGGGTGATGATGGAGCAGAAGGCGTGGCTGGACTCTTCTGGCCGGTGAACGACGACAAGGACAATAATATCAGCTCTAGCCGCTGTTGCCGTCTATCAAGGAGCTGACACCAGATCCTACAGTCACCATGATAACAGGTTCATTACTTTTGCCATTACTTCTTTGTTGAAAATCCTGCATAAATTGTCTCTGCTCACAATGAATTAAGGTATCCAAGACAAGTATTTCAAAAGAAGGTGGCAGCTAAGTATATGTACAGTATATCCACATGAGGTATACAGTATCTATTTCACCAACCTCATCTCACCAACACAACAGTGTTGGCTTAATTATTTCATTTCCCTATATTTCCACATCTTGGCTCCTCTAATACGGCTCTCACTCACTACATTTCTCAAAGCACCTATTACCCTGCAGTACCGGGTAGCTTTTCTTCCGGTATTTTGTGATTCAATACATCATTTAATGTTCCATTTCCTGATACCGCCACTCATAAAAGCATAAAATACATCACTCCCACTATTCTGTTTACATTCAAAATAATATTCAAATCCTCATCTCTTTCCTCTGCTTGCTTTCATTATTATACTTTTGTTCACATTCACAATTAGCTTTCTATTATAGCATAAGACTCACTCACCAACATTTACAACTTCTCTTTTGAATCATCCAACAGAGCAATGTATCTGTAAGCATTAGCAAAACCAGATTCCTTTTCCATTCTCCTCTTTTACCAAACCTGTACATCTCATCACTCTTGCTGACAGTTTTCTTGCTATTTCATCAATATAACTGGTGAATGACTATGGCAACAGTACACATCCTTTATCCACCAAAGTATACAAGTTTGTAAATAAAGCTATAAAAAGCTTCAAATAATAGCAACCAGTGTTATTTTCTTATGAACAGAAACATATGCAGTAAAATCATATACTAACTGTTTGCCATCAGGAACCCAGCCAACACGAACTAAGTACTCATGCCAAGGTGCCAATTGCTTGAGGTCGTGACGTAAGTGTCGAGTTGTTACTCTCAACTCCTCCGCCGGTCCCACTTCTACTTCTAGCATTCGTAATGTTGACTCTGCATTAGACATACCAGCCCGAGGAAATCTGCAATGTTAAATCTAAAGTTAAATTTCTATGTCCAAGTTCTGACACAAAGAAACATTCAAAGTTGCATAAGATTAAATTTATCTCACATAAACTGTAATGAATTTCTGGTAAAAATAGGGTCTTTGAATACAACCAAATACTATACTGTATGTATAAGGTGAACTCACATATAACAAGAACCCACAGTATGAAGTAAGGCAGGTATAAAAAATCAGACATTTTTCTGTCCCACAAAGAAAATCTATTCAGTAATATCCTACTTTTCAAGATTAATTTAATTCTCTTCCTAACCATCCTTCAATATAAGATCATTTACATGTGAGACAAATACCCAATCAGTGAGCCAAGGAGCCAAAAATTAGCTTAATAATAAGAATTTCCTCAAATCCTGAGGATTCTGGTAAAGTAAGAAATGACAAACTAACCTAAATTCATCCAGCATGCCTGCAGAGTCATCAGGCAGGATAAACTGAACTATAGGAACTTCACTCTCATCAACTTCTTCAAACAGTAATCGATAAACACCATCTGTTGACAGAGAAATAAGTGAAAATGAACCAACCTGACGATATAGACATCATGTCATTTCCAAGTATGCTTCCATTAACTAGAATTTAATTCAATAATAATAAAAACAGATGCAAATACCTTAATACCTGTACCATGAATTTTACCTAACTCAATTCCAGCTATTACTTTAAACATTATATTGACAATCCCTATCAATGATTCTAATAGCATTACAATACTGTACAGCACAAACATATTAACAAGTGTGAATATATATATAATTATATTTTTTTTTGGTAGCAGCTTCCTCCCAAAACTTAAAAACTTAGAAATGATAAGTTGTACACATAAATACACATGCATGAATTGTTTTTAACATACCCGGAGAAATAGGCTGCCACCAGTAACCCTGATAACGGGAAAACTCTTCCTGCATTACATAAGAGGGCATCCCCGCACTCTTTGGGTCATACTCTAGTCGACCACTACCGCTATGTACATGAGTCACTCTCTTCTCCTCTCCTGCAACACAGTACAAGTATTAAATGATATACAACATGGATCAATGCCAACTCTTAATACATCCTGCAATTTGCAAAAGAATAAAATTAAGAAACCATGTCATGACTATGGTTTTGTGATACTATACAGAAATGTAATTGGGACAGTATGTAGAAATTTATTTGTTAAAACCTCTAAAATTATTTCAAATTTGAATAACAGAAATTATGTCAGTTCAAGACACATGCTGTTAAATAATTTGTGCAAGTGAAAAAAGTCACATATTTTTCTACCTAATCAAAGAGGAAATTTTGATCATCTATTGTTTCACATACAATTCACAAAGTTATCTCACAACATAGGAAAAGATTAAAAAGAATTTGAAATTAGAAACAAACCATATTAAAAACTATGTACATAACTTAAAAACATTCTTGCTTCATTAACTACATCACTTATATACAACGAACAAGATGTAACAATCACCAACACACCTGTTTTAGTATTATAGAGATAGATGTCGTATCGCGCTGCAAAGGCAATGAGGTTTGGATTTGCAGGACATATTTGAGGGTTGAGTCTGACTTGGCAACTAGGTAATTCTCTTGGACTTATAGGCCCAGTCTGAAAATACATTCACATTATTAAAATCTCATAAAGAATGGTTATTGTGAGGTGCTAAGAACCATTAGCTTGGCAAACATTCTTATCACTGCAATAAAAATAACTGAATGAGAATGAATAAAAAAAATGTGAGAGTACAGTATTTTCTTTTGATTATTACCATTCTTTAATGAACCAAACATGAATGAAGAAATAATTATTAATAAACAAATTTTGAGGAATATGATCAAGAGCACAAAGGAATACAATATTATTCTAACACTACACAATGTAAAACCATGTAGAACACACCGGCCGTTCTGGATGCACACATTGGAAGATGGTGGAGGAAGCTGGGAAGACCAAGGTGCCGGACGTGGGGTGAAGTTCATAGTTCGTAATCCCCCATGTTGAAATGCGGCGTCGTTCGCTCAAAAGCTGTTCCTCTCGAGACGTTCGCCGCCAGAGGAAGGAATGGCCAGAGTCCAACACCTCTTGGTATATAATTCTGCTACCCCAAGTCTGTGAGACAGTGAGGAACACACTCATCTAAATACTGTATCAATAAAAAGGAAACATAATCCAAACTCTAAACTAGAACTTCTATGTAAGCTCCAGATTTGCCAATACTTGTTAAGAAAGAAAACAGCATCAAAAGGGATGATACAAAGCCAGAGGAAGAGCAAATGTTGTGAAGACATAAAGGAAACAGAAGAAAGGAGGTGAGAGAAGAGGATGGGACATGGTGAAATTTGAAGAGGAAAAATCAACAGTAAGATAAGAAATTTATATACATAGTATGTATTTTCACATGAGGAACATGGATATTGCATTCAAAAACTTATAAAACAGCCAGTACCCTGTACTGGTGTGTTTTGTAGATAAAATTACCCATAGGCTTCCCTATACGGAAGCCTGTGCAATCCTATGTATTGTAGAAATCATTTGAGTTAAAGTACAGTAATCAATCTTACTTAGCCCTAAAATCTTATCAGTTTTGTTGATGTTCTTAAAAATCAAATTACTTACTTGGTTCGCAAGCTTGCCACAAGTAACCTGAAAGCAAAGATGGAGGCAGAATATCAAGGACCCAAGCGAAAAGATACCAATTTAACAACGACTTTATCAGTTAACAAATATAAAGCAACTTGAGGAAGAGGACAAAGTGAAAAAAGTCTAGTTCATGACCACAACTTTAAGACCTCTATGCTTTCTGCAATAATGACTCACATGTTACATATACTGTATGTGCAATTTTACATAAGAGAAAGAGAATTTTGAGAAAAAATATAAACTGTTAAATTTCACACCTACAAATCAGAAACATTTTTCTATTTTAGAAACAGTAGACAATTAAACAGAAAATCATAACAGTTAAATACACTTCCCAATTTAAATTAAATGACAAAAGCTATTCTCGGATCCAGTTCACAAAAAGACTCATGTTTTGAGTCATTTGGTGTCTTCACCTTACTAAAAATGGATATTAAAACTGAATCCCTATAAAATGTTTTGTGCTAACCATTACTGATTAACTGAATAATGCCAACTAAAATAGCGACAGTTAATGTCCAAGAGGGATCAAAACTTTCTTAATGTTTTAAACTTACCGATTCCAGATTGATGTCGGCATAAAATAATGTAGATTCTCTGCCCTGACCGGGGGATAAGAGAAAATAACATCGTAACTGTGAGGGCCCAAGACGGCGAAATGTGACGTCTGTGGGGGTTTTAACAGATAAGTGAAGAAAAGTTCTCCTGAGCTCCCGGACACGTAGGTGGACCTCCCGCCAATTCAACGAATTTCCTCCTGTGCCTACGGCTCCCCGCGAGACGCCACCACTACCTGTAGGTATCCGTGGCATTTTTTCCTCATTCACAAGCCTGAAAATGCATCAAATTTTGTTCATATTACATAAGGTTGTTAATTTTCATATAACTGATGACAAACAGTTCACTTACACTAAAAACAGACATAAAAGTCTTCAATCTTAAAGACTCAAATCAAATGTCTCAGCCCATACAATTTACAGTACTACTGTACTGCATTATTACCTTCCCACAGACCTTCGCCTTGGTTCGCACCCTAGATGTATTAATTAACTATTAAATAAAATTAAACAAACTAATTTTTAGGTAAACCTTCAAATTTCTTCCTTAAAGAGAACCCAAACAACAGGTGTGTATCCCTGTCATCACAATTCTTCTAAAGCTACTCAGAGTCATGCCAACTCAAATACCAAGTCTTCAGTTCACAAAAAATTAGATGTGAGTCCACTGGACATGACTGACCAAATGCAAAATCATGGTCAACCATTATAAAAAGTCCAAAACCAACATATTACAATTCAGCCTATCTTAACCTTACCTTCATTCTCCTGATCAAGATTAAATTTATCTTGGACACTCATCACTACCAAAATTTAATAGTCAAGTATGTACTGTACACTGTAGTCTATATGAATAAAAAAAAACAAAAAAACATACTGTATTTATAAAATCTTAAGTGTCTCATAAATTTACTGAATACTGTACCGTCTTTTCCTTGCTAAAAGCCCATATTTTCCATCCTCTTGAAAGTCTTGTCTACTTTGGTTGGGATTACAAACATCACCAATTAAGTGTGTTTGACTGGATAATAATAAACTAAAGTAAGTTATGAACTCATGTGTAAAATTTTAATTATGTAATTCTAACCATAAAAAGTTGCCCCTCAACTTCACCTTCACCAAAAAATCTTACTTACACAGACTGTACACTTACCATATCCTCCCATATGCAAGAGGGTTACGTGCTTGGAAATGTCATGAATCGTGAATTCAAATATAGAATCCCAGTTATCCAGTATCCATGCAACCGGTAGATTCAAATGACCGACACAGAAATTAAATAATAATAAAAATTCCTCCAAAATCAGCTAGAATAGTCAAATCCAAGTGCGAGATTCTTACATCACAAAAGCTGAGAAGAGACTGGGAGGCTCTCATGTGTGAGTGAAAGATAAATAACTACATACTTGGCAACACAATCTAGCCAGGTCAGTCCTTATTATTTAAATAGGCCCCGAAATATCAAAAAGTCATATGACATGACTTGAACCTTTCATCACGTAATAAAGCTTGGTAATTGTGAAATGTGATAACAGCAAGCACAGGCCGGAACTGACTACACTCGCATAAAAAATCAGATATAAGCATAAAGTGTTAAAAAGCAATAATCTACAAAATGGCTCCTGCCACTGAATCTAAACAGTAACTGGACTCAAAATGTCAAAGAATTGCTTATTTCCTTTAATGATCAATTTGTAGTTTCAAGTAACCACAGCTCTTGAGTTGAGCAATGTGTTTTTACGATGGTTTAGACAATTTTGAGACATATCTTCTATGACGTTTCCCTCACAAATGTCCTAAAATTACGTAACCTCCTAACCAGGTGCAATGAAGTTAAAGTAGAGAGTAGATATAGTTGTAGGATTGTGAAGTGAGGAAAGTCTAGTAGCGTGACTGATTAGGTATTTAACCATTACTATGTTCGTAGGGGAAATTTTCTAAACACCAATTCTAAGTACAGCTATTTATTAGTTAACTCAATGGCATGGACACATTAATATATTGACATTACTCGACAATAACTCGGACACAAACATGAGAAGGATACACTTCCCACCATAAGTAACTCGCCCTATGGATAGCTCAGAGAATGACTCACATGTGACCTGAGGGAGGCCCAGTGGCTGGTGAATCTGTCTGCAGGTGCTGCTGAAGAGAGTGGTGCTGCACCCTGTCTCCTGTGGGAGACTCTGCTAGCTGGGGACTCGGTGCTGGGAAGAGAAGTCCCCTTCCCGACATTGACTTGTGACGCGTGTCACTCCGTCTGCCTCTGAGTTCTGTCTCTGCCTGTTTGTCTTTGGGAAGGAGCTATCGGCCCCTTATATTGGCGGTGTCAGGCCGGCAGATGTTGTCACTAACTAACACTAATCTGGGTGTGTCGAGACAGCTGTGTTTGAACAGGTGCGTGTTGCGGGCTGGGGCTAGTTTCTTGAGTTATCAAGGTCATGACACCAGTTTGGCTAATCACGAGGAGGTGGGAACTGTTCATTGTGACCGTGACCTTTACTGGATCAGGTCTTAATCTCACTTTAATTACGAAGGGTGGGTCAACTTACGTGGGTGTACACCTGCGCTTCCGGTCACTGCTATACGTGTTGCTTTTCTCTAGGTTGTAAGCTATGGTCTGATAAACAATCATTACACCTCCCGCCAAGACCAAAGCTTCCATACCAGAGAACTGATGACACATATAGACAGTGATCATGGTAATATCATGTACAGTATCTAGAATAGCCCATGAGATGAGAATGCAACTTCACATTTTACAAAAAATAACCACCACCTATCGATAGCACTTCCCTCATAGTTATTGATATGAATGTTTTTCTACTGGCTTGGTTTGGTCTGACAAAACTCACCATACAGGGGGCTCTGCCTCCCTGGACCCCTTGGTATATTCAAGTAATTTGCGAGGGAAAGGTCATAGAAAAAGTGTCTTAAAATTGTCTAAACCGTCGTAAAAACACATTGCTCAACTCAAGCACCGTGGTTGGTTGAAACTACAATTTGACCCCTAAAATTTTTAAGTTTTTGCAGATGAGAAAACAAATATTAATAGTAGGGGGATCGGGTCCAACTAATTACCCAAATGTAGGCAAATATAGCCGGAATGAAGTCAAATAATGGTCCTAGATGAATAAATCGGACTGCCAATCACTTCTCGACAAGTATTTGGTGTCAGAAAGTCACAAAAAATTGGTAAACTTAATTTAATCTGAGTTAATAGATCGAGTGCATGTACCTTACCCAACCTAACCTAACCTAACCTAACCGAACCTCGACTAGTATTTGGTGTCACGAAGTCACAAAAAATTGGTAAACTTAATTTAATCTGAGTTAATAGATCAAGTGCATGTACCTAACCTAACCTAACCTAATATAATCTAATCTAATCTAACCTAACCTAACACAACACAACTCAGATTAAATTAAGTTTACCAATTTTTTTTACTTTATGACACCAAATACTAATCGAGAAGTGATTCACAGCCCGAATTACGCTTGTACGACCATCATTTGACTTCATTGCGGCTACATTTGGGTACATTTGGGTAATTCCTCGCTCCCTCGGTACATGCACGCGATCTATTAACTCAGATTAAATTAAGTTTTCCATTTTTTGTGACTTTCTGACACCAAATACTAGTCGAGAAGTGATTGGCAGTCCGATTTATTCATGTAGGACCATTATTTGACTTCATTGCGGCTACATTTTGCTACATTTGGGTAATTAGTCGGACCGGGGGGATCACCTAATGATTAGATGAGGTTAGATTAGCATAAAGGTGGTTAATCTTAAGGTGAATAAGTTGAGGGATACCACTTAGTTCTCATATTGGGTTTATGTGCAAAATAAAACAATGACTGTAAACCCCAGGTGTATTCCTCAGTCAAATCATTGAAATAATGTTGAGAGTGACAGAACCACATAACCTGGGGTAAATTCAGACACTGAAATTAAGGTTTACTTAGAATTTGAAGAAAATTGTGTACATAAATTATGTTTACTCTAATATTGATAATCCTAACCCAGATACTGAGTCTACACAAGTATGACATTTTAAGCAAAGATTAATCTGTCTTCTGAATGTCAAAGTTTACAATCACAGGACATCCATGACTTAGGTAAACCTATATCCCGACACTGGTTCTCCACAAACAAGATCCCAAGACCTAAAATACACTCACCTGTAATTCAGGTCTACACAGTAATAGTACCCAGAGTCCTAAGGTAAACTGGTGTCCTGAAAATTAAACTTTAAGGTACACAGTAACAGAATAACACAACCCAAGATAAACCTGTATCCTGCAACAATAAGTTTACACAACAAGAGGATAGTTAACATAAACCCTAAGCCACAAGAACAGGCAAGATTTGCTTCATGAAACAGAATGTAAACAGAACATGCTGACACAAATGGTTGATGAAATTATAAAAAAGTTTACACAAATTTTGGATGACAGAGGCAGTCAGTGGCCCTCCTCCCCCTCCCCCACCCCACTTCACCTCCACTCATTTTATCTCACCTTCAATATTTCAGGTCATCTTTTGAAGCTGTTGTGCCAAGGGGAGAGGCGAGTTCGTGGTGGTTGTCCCTCAAGTCAAAAAAAAAAACATGAAAATAGTGTATCGTCTGTCTCACGACCGGTCAGGTCGAGGCTCAGGCAACAACGCCATCTGTTGACAAAACATCTCCCTGCTCGCTAGATGGTTAATGTTGACAAATGACCACGACACTCCTTTCGGCCTATGAACTTTTCTCACGCTAAGACCTTACCTGAAGTGTCAACTAAAATTGCTCTTCAATCATTAGAGATAATTTGGTTAATATCCTAGTTTAGTTTTAATGCCTCATCAATTGATTTAGTATCATTAATATTGTCAGCAAGTACTTATATTTATATTTTACAAAATTGGAAAGCCTTCAGCGTTCTCGGTAAATTAAAACAAAATATCACTATACACTATTTTATTCTATTGGCAGCTGACCATTGATCGATATATATATATATATATATATATATATATATATATATATATATATATATATATATATATAAACCTCTACGTTGGCGATACAAAATTAGGACGTGTGATAATCCTGAAAATATACCACGAGCAGTGATTCCTAACCTAATCTCTCATTTATGTAATTACAGTGTTTATATTTGAAATTAAAATATATGAATAAAGCTTAAAAGCACACAATGGCTGTTAAATTAAATTCGTATCAGCACTTCCCCCTCCCGACAAAAATGAATGGGTTTAAGGTGTTGTTCGTGCTAGTATTTTAACATTTGCTAAATTGTCATTTTTTTTAATTATGAATACGTATAAGAATAATAATTTTACTGCCATTAACCATCCATTTACATAGTTTTTATGATAAATAAACGTAGAAAAATCAAAACAGCTTAACAGGCACCGTTAATTCAAGAAGCCGGAGTTTATACCACCTGTCACCCTTTCATTTGACTACGGTATTATAAATTCCTTTGTGCAATATTTCTGAAATCATGAAATTAAATTATCAAAAGGAAAATGCTAGATAATATATTTTCACAATGAATATTAATTTAAGAGTTCAGTGACACGTTCTACAGGCAACCAGGGGCTTTCCCAGTTGACCCACCTGTGAATGAGTACCTAACTTAACAAATGATTATATAAAGGTGGCCGAGTGCAGTCCCGGCGACACTGTGCCATGTGTACCAAAGGATATATTTATTTATAGATCCCACAAGAATTTATGAGCTTTAATAGACAATATAAAGGGGCTCCTCGAGCCATCTCCTTATCATGGGTGACTTCAACTGTGGGGACATTGACTGGAGGAATGAAATTACACCAAATTACCTCAAAAATCCTGCAACTTCACTTGTAAACACTCTGAGTAACAATTTCCTATTCCAACATGTTAAGAGATCCAACTCACAATAGAGAGGAGCAAATGCCAAACCTCCTGGCTCTCAGATCATCACAAGGAGGGTTAGGTGACCAAGTTGGGACATTTAACTGCTGCTGTCACCAGACATTATGTGATGTTGTGCTTCAAATTTAACTGGTACATGGAACGTACTTAATGAGAGTACACCAAGGTTCAAATATTACAATGGCAATTATGACAGGATGAGGGAAGAAATGAGGTGGTACCAGGTATTTATTGGCCTGGTTCATTGAGAAACATGAATGTGGATAGTAACTACCCTGAATATCATACACAGTAAAGTGAACTATTTGATTAATAAATATATACCCATGACCAATCCCACTGCCTCCAAGACTACAAGGAGACCATTACACATGAACTATGCAGCAGTTGACAAAGTTAAGAAAATATCTTACAATTTCTTGAGATGGGACAAGATAAAATTAATGATGAGCAGGACAGAAGGGTATATGCCAGGTGTAGAAACCAAGTCATGTCAGAGTGTAAGATAGGGCTAAAAAGATTACCAGAGGCTGACTGCAAACGAGGTCAAGTGAAACCTTTAACCTTTCTATTGTTACACTAATTAAAAAATAAAGGCATTTGTGGGTGTATCCAAACCAAGTCTTGAAAGCGTTTGTAACATAGACTTAAATCTGGAAGAGGCAGAGGTGTTAAATAAATTATTTTCACAGGTGTTCACAAGAGAGGATATGAAAAACTTCCATACAATTGAGGAAAGACAATCCTGACACAGCACTGAAGTACATTGAGTTCTCAGAAGAGTACTGTATATGAGAAACAAATTGTCAAAGCTAAAAGTACATAAGAGCCCTGGCCATGATGCTCACCATCATCCTTGAGTTTACCCATTACTGTATTTGCCTGGGTATTCTGAATATCTCGCCTCTTGTATGTTTAGCATGTCTGCAAATGCGACCTGCTCATGCTTCTTGGCCTTGAAACCTCTTCTGAACCTGTTCTTGTTCTCCAGGTACTCCTTGTCATCACCCATCTTCCAGGCCTTATACAATCTTCTTTTTTGTATTTACTAATCTGTCCACTTCATTATTCTACTACTATGTTACTGCATGCCTGGCTGTGTCCTTCATCCATTGACACATTTTGTCAGCTGCATTCACTGTATCCCCTATGTTGTACCAGATAGGATGCCCAAATTAAACTGATATCCCTAATTTGATGAGCTGCAGGTTAATAAAGAGTAAGTAAGGTATCTGCAGGGCTAAAATTATCAGTCACTAATTTGGTGCTCTTAAGTATAATTTACTAAACAGGCACCAGATAAATGATATCTCATCTTTCTACTTCAGTACTACTGTACAGTACTCTATAGGATGTCTTACAATGATGCATGTACAGTATTTACAATAAATTTGTTTATTGATGGGTACAGAATTATACACAAAATAGTAAACAAAAAATTAACAAAATTTATTTCTTCACAGTATTATTAACTTACTATTTAGTTTTCTGAAAAAAAATCACATTCACATTAAAAACAACACTGTTACTTTGTTGTATACTGTATTCTTTGAAGTAAATAATATACAGTATTGTACAGTATATCAAAATGCACAAGTGTAGCCCCATATGACATTGTTTTTTGACATAAGAAAAACATCAGACTAAATACTGTACAAGAAAATAGTCACATCATTTATAACACATCGATAATATTATGCTGGAATTCAACAACATACAATGTTGGCATCCAATATGAACATAAACATTCAATTATTTTTTCACTGAACAATTATAATTGTAATCAGGAGCTACAAGAGCTGTATACATCATGAACCAGTAGCAGACTTCAGTAAGAGTTATAAAAGACTAGATTAAACAGAGCACTGAGTATACTAATTAAGAGCTATAGGAATGTAAAAAGTTAAACCCACAATTTAATATATCTTCGTGTATTATTGAATCAGTTACAGTACTAGTCAATAAATCTTTTAAATTAAATTCAATACAATAATGTTTTTTTTTAAAGAGCCCTTTAAGATTTGGGTATAAAGTAATAGGTCCATGCCTAACACCAACAACCTCACAACAACCTTCACAGATCCACTTTGTTAAATGTAATCAAAGATTATTCATCTTTGATACATATAAATTAACCAAAAAATCAAATAACTATCAGTCATCCCCAGGCTTGAGTCTTGCAGTAGTGAAGGACCAGCTTGCCGTCAGATCCAAAGCTCTCATATAAGTTTCTGATGATCTGGTCCGGTGCCGGTGCAAAGCTTTGGTTGACGTACACAAACTGTTGAACAAGCAGAGAATTATATATTATAAAGTATGATCCCTGGTACCATGGTGGTGTTATTAAGTTTAATGGCATGAGAATGAATTTCCGAGAGATACATAATACTGTATTTCGGACGCGGGGACGCATGCCGGGTTCGTGGATGGGTAGGTTCAGTGTTCTTGAGCTATGATTGGCTACTACTGTCATGAAACTGAAAAGGATACCTATGATTAGCTGATGTATCTTGCAGCCTATCTCCTCAAACTTCTGCATCATAACACTTTTAGTTCATTGTCTGCTGCCATTGTACAAGCTTGTTTGCTCTTTTACTGCTGTTTTCACATGTGATCTGTGTTGTGCAGTACTGTACCTACATATAATCAGTCAAAAATACTGTTAAAGCAGTGTTAAGACATAAAAAGTTATTAAAGTTACATATACTGTACGACTGTACATTTAGTAAGTGTGAAAGTACCACATGTGCAGTAGAGTACTGTGGACAGTGTATGATAGAGGGTGGATGCACAGTATACAGTGCATGTACAATCCCTCCTTCATGGACAGAGAGGAGAGTGACTGTTAGCCCTGCTGGTGATTACAGTCTAGTGTATAGGGTACATGTAGTACAGTATATTTTGTTTATTTACAATATATTATAATTGTACAGTGGTGTTTACATAAATAAATACAGCTCTGTGTATGTCCATGTGAGATGTAGTATTGACTCTCGGAAAACTTTCCCCAGTAGTACTGTACCTGGAAAAGTACCCAGGATGGCGATTTTTTCCGGGGGTGAGAAAATTTGTCTCCATACCTGGAAATCTTTCAGTCCCAAAACCACTCTATACCAATTACTGTATTCCAGCTAATGGGGATAACACTGTAGCAGGAAAACTCTTGAAAGTGAAAAATTACTTTGTTCTTCTCTTGCCAAGGTATAACATACCTGTTGCACCCTAAGTAGTTGGGAATAAAGTGAAGTTAATTAAGAGAATTGATAAAAAGAAGCACAGTACAGGAAGAAACTCAGTCAAAGCATCACAAATAGCATTATGTTCATCTTACAAACTATAACTGTGTGATTTAAAGACAGACCAAACTTAAACAAATACAGTACACTGTACTCTTAGAATTTCTAGAATAGTTCCAATAAAGTTACAGCTCTGTATGAAGAGAAACTTACTAAGGTATCAGAGGCATCCAGCTTAAGGTACTTGCGAATAAATTCAGTAACCCATCCAACAGGCTTTTCTCCTTCTACTGCCCATTTCTTTTTCCTCATGATGGGAGCATCACCAGTCGCCTTTAATAACACATCAACTAAAAAAAAAAAAAAAATCTATGGTAAGTCAAACACAAAGCACAAGAATTTTCTTGGGCTAATCGACACAATAAATGAGAAAATATAGGGATCCATAAACACATGATAAAGCTAAGCAGGGTTAGGGGCAGTATTGGTATCTATGGTGAGGACAAAGGCTGCCACTGTCACATCAAGGCCTGGGACTAATGAACACTATTTATATAAAGGATCCCACTCTCCTAAACTTTGAGAAGACTAAAGGAATGTTACCACTTACATACTTGACCAAAACAGCTCTACAGTCAGCCTCCATATTCTTACAGTACCTACAGTTTCAAGTAGTGTGTATGGTAAGACACTTTATATCTTTACAGAAAGTTATATGAGGAGGAGTGTGGGTTTTATCATGAACTGGATTCCTTTCACTTGTCGTAAGAAGCAATACAGGGCAATTCATTGATCCAAACCCTTAATCCAAATAAAGTTGTTTAGAGAATCATACGACTTTGTAGTTACACAACTGCAATGTTTTTATAGTGGAAAGCACATTTTTAGTATGGAGAAATCTTCAAATTAATTGAAATGTCATATGCGAGGGAAACGGCATAGAAGAAAACTGTCTTAAAATTGTCTGAACTATAGGAAAAACATATTTTTCAATAAAATTCCGTGACTGTACAGAACAGCAAATTTTCCGTAATTTACCCTTATCTTTCATGCTCTGCCAATTACGTACATGTGATTTATGATTGTAGTTCAGGAAAACGAAAACAAGAACATAAAATTAAAGGAAAATTTTTTAATCTTATTATCATGGATACAACACCTGTGGAAAACATTAACTAATTCTATAAGTCCTTCTAGGGCTAACTGTCTGCTCCATTATTACCATTTGGGGGTAAAATTATTGTTTCGGCCATCCACCTACTGTATTTGGAAATTGAAATTATGTTTTCTGAAGGTTTTTGATGTGTTTTGAACGATTCTGACCTTCATTTCTACTGCAAATCATTACTTTTTGAGCTACCCCCCATTGCCCAACGATAATAGGGGACCCTCAGTGGGAACCAGGAATTCTGGGGGGGAAAATCACAATAAGTAGAAATTTGCAATAGAAATAAAGATCAGAATCATTCAAAACACATCAAAAACCTTCAGAAAACATAATTTCAACTTAACCTAACCAAACTCTCTCGGACGATGGTAACATAAACAGATAACTTATAAAAATACAGCGATTTTCCAACAAATTATTGCGATTTTATCGGAAAGTAATCATTCCCAGAAGCAATGCTACAAAAGCAATGGTTTTAAATTAGACAAATTTAGATTTAGGTGCGAGATAGGTAAACATTGGTTTGGAAATATAGTGGATAAGTGGAACAAGTTACCAAACTTCATCATTAACTTGAACACGCTGGGTAGCTTCAAATATAGGAAGGTTCGGATATATGAGCGATAGGGGTTGGGTGTAAATGGGGGTAAATTTTTACTCATGTACCGGACTTTGTTTGGATATTAAAAATTTGTTTTTCCGATGATATTTGATGAGTTTCGAACGAATTTGATGTTCATTTCCACCAGAAATCACTAGTATTGTTCTCTCAAGGGGGAGAGCCTGGGAAATCAGGGTTTTTGGCTGGGGGAGAAAACGAATCATCTGACCTAACAAAACCTAACCTAACCTAACCTCTAGCCGGGGACTCCGTCCCCAGACCCCAGGCAGGCCTAGCTTAAACTAACCTAAATGTCTCAGTAGTTAAAAACTTTGGGGCACGCAATGTCCGAAAGTACAATACCTTAGTTAATAGTGGAAGGACCAGGGATACATAAGAATTGGATAGAATGATCGTCCTTCTTGTAAAACTCAGCAATAAAGTTAAAATAATCGTAGCAGCACAAATGACAACCAACCTCCATCACGGTCATTAAGAAACTGGTCAATGAAATTACCCAGGCCGCTTCCTTTGAAAAAACAAAATGTGATTGGTCGAAAAAAAAAATCGCGTGATGATATCGATACACCATTGGTCACGACTGGATAACGTCAGTCAATATTGCGCATGAGTGATGCGCAGATAACATCTCCTCAAGGTAAGTAAGACATGGCAACACTTGTGACTGAGCGAATTTAATAATATTGAAAAATTATTATATCAGTTATCCTTAATTTCCAGTTGAAATATCATTGAAAAAAAGGTCTTAGAACTGTCTAAACATTACGAAATACATATTAATAACAGCGAGAGAAAGACCGATGCATAAAGAAAAATTCACCAAATGGTAGAAGTATTTAAGTGGGTGAAAGGAATCAATAAGGGAGATATAGATAAAGTTCTTATAATATCCAAGCAGGATAGGACTCATAGCAACGGATTTAAGTTGGATAAGTTTAGGTTTAGGAGGGAGATAGGAAGGAACTGGTTCACAAATAGGGTGGTGGACGAGTGGAACAAGCTTAGCAACTTTGTAGTAAGTGCTGGAATGTTTTAAAAGGAGGCTAGATAGATTCATGGATGATAGAGAGTGGTAGTAACTCTCGACAGGAGCTGCCATGCACAGGCCAACTGGCCTATTGCAGACTCCTTATTTTCTTATGTTGTTATGTATGTTGTAGTGTGGGCCAATAGGTCCACTGCAGTTTCCTCCGTCTTTTTGTTCTTGAGAAACGAGTCTTAGAATTGTTTAAACTACTTTTTCCAAAACTTAAAATCCTAAAATTCACTGGATGACCGAAAAGAATAATACCGTCTTTGGTATTGAATATCACTTTGTAATTAAGTAAACCTTCAATCTCAATACAGTACAAACAAATATCCAGTCCCTCCAGAATTGAGTTGCTGTCGTTACCATAATCTTGGTCCGTTTTACCTTCTATCAAATTCCCTCACTTGTTTAAAACATCCTCACTTACTCTTTTTATTGGCTGCTACTTTAATGTCGTCTTCCTTATGTTCTTGTTGGGGTTCTGCTACAACTTCCTGTGGAGGGGGGCTCTTCTCCTTGTCATCCTCCATTGTTTACATCAGAGCCAAATGTTCACAGCCACAAGTCACCGCCTGTGACGTCACCCTTCAGTCGGGGGAAGTGAGACTCGATTATTTTTTTTACAATTATTATGAAAAATAAATTTATTTTAGTATAATCTGTAGTCTAAGGCACCTTTAGTGCTTGTTATAATGTTCTAATCAAACTTTCACGTCCATAATGCTCCTCATATGACTGTGTGAAATTACTGCATTCAGTGATTTTCAACTACTGTATATCATCTACTTCTATATGATTTAGATTATTCTAAATAAAATGTTATAAGCTGTGCGTAGCCTAAAGGCTTGTCCTTTAAAAACACATTGTGATTATTGAATATTATACCAGAACTCAAACAACTGTATTATTAACATTTGTTCTAATTATCTAAATTTGCAACACAGAATGCTGTAGCCACTCTCATGAGATTTAACTTCTTCCTATTCCATTCTAAAGTATTTATATTTCCTATATATACAGCCTCGCTGTGACAGGGGATAAGAGCAGCACACTTAGCTGTCTGTTTTGCAGGTAGCCTCTAAATTCATGATGATTAAGGATGCTCTCTGCAAGATTTTTGCCAACATTGATAAAACAGTCATTTAAGTGATTAGTTATGAGGAAGGGTGATAAATGATTCAGTTACAACTGAATCATTTATCATAAAAGCCGAGTGGGAGGCCGTGGGTTGAGTGTTCCTGTTCTGAATAGAATTAATGACATTCCAGGTTTTCTTACTGTTGCCTGATGCTGACTGGAACTTATTTGTATAATAGCAACGCCTGGCATTTCTAACTGCTTGAGTTACTCTATTTCTGATACTTCGGAAAGCATTGCCAAAAGTTATAGGTCTTTTTGCAAGTTTTCTTTGGCGTTTGTGTTTTTCTCTTATCATTGCCTTGATTTCACTTGTAATGTACGGTTTGGAGATACAGTTTTTACATGGTCTTGGGGGGGGGGGAAATATTTATCAAAGCGGGCATTGAAGATGCAAGAGAAGTTGCAGCAGCTCACACTATGGTTGTCGGAGGCATAGACAAGATCCCACTTCGCATTCATTAAGTTGTTTTCAAACAGGAGCATTTTGTTGGCACAGTAGTCTGTTTTATTGTGAATTAACTAGACTTTTTAGGTCTTGTAGGTTGTTTTATACATGGCAAAAACTGGGAAGTGATCTGAGATTTTGTTATAAATAATTCCACTTGCAAGATTGTTAAATGTGTTGTTAGTCCAAATATGGTCTTTCAGATATGGCCTATGACAGTGACAGGTGGCAGTTACGCTGGTGGGTTTGGTTATGTGTTGTAGAGCTTAGAAAAACAGGTAGCAAGAAGGTCTATTACTGAGGTGTCCATTTTTTATTTTAATAGATCAAGGTTGAAATCTCCTGTAATGTAGCAAAGTTTCCTCTCAGAACTTAAAATAGAGATAAGCTCCAAAAATTTATCAAGAAAGTTTCTTACATTAGTGTGGGGTCTTCTGTAGATTACTCCTACTAGGATATTTCGTGTGTTGTTATGTAATTCAGTGAAAACACTCTCCATGAACTCCTCTTGAACCTTTAAAATCATTTCTTACAGAAGTGTTATAATTAGTATCAACATATAGTGCAACACCACCACTGTGTCGTGACGTGTTGATGCAGTGTATATTATAATTACAAATGTTATACAAATGTTCAATATCGTTAGTGAGTTTGGTCTCACAGAACCCAAGTACCTGTACATAAAATTTGTGGGCAATAGAAGAGATACATTGATCTAAAAAGGTATCTAAGCAAAGGGGAATACTCTTGATGTTATGGCTAATTAAAGAGAAGGACTGAGATAGTAGAAGACTAGATTTAAACTCGGGAGAGTCAGGAAAGTAATAGTTACAATTGGGGTTGGTGTAACCCAGTGAGTTTTGGAAAAAGGCATCAGGGTCAATATAAGGGAGTATTGTGTCGACGTCATGGGTGAAGGGGGGTGTAACACATGCGGTCCAGTACATCTAGGGAAACGACACTAGCACCATCAGTGTAAGAATATTGATACTGATTAAGGAAGAGCAAAAACTCAGTGTCACTAAGCTGATGGTAAAGTGAGCACCCTTTTGACAGCATCACATCAGTAAAGAAGGCATGGCATTCTACATGTTAATGTTTTTTTCGTTTTTTTAGAGGCAGGAAGGGGGAAGGGGGACTAGGATGGTGGATCAGGTTACATTGACCATGGAAACAGTAGCTCACTCCTCACTAAAGTCTGGCCACCCCTGATATACACCAACACCATACTCCTACACCAATAAGCATCTGTACCATAAACATACTTCTCCTCCATAAACACCAACATAGTCCCTTGTAAGGGAACACCCTACAAAATCACACGAGCATAAACTTTCTCCTGATCCATGCGCTGATTGGACATATGTAGTGAGAGATGTGCATTATTGCTGAACCATAGGTTATTAAGAGATAAGAGTGCAATTCAGATATTTTCAGATACAGTATTGAGGAAAATGCTGAAAGTATCTTAAACATACACTTTATATGACACTCTTTTTATAGTGTCCTGGGCACACTCTTAATAACTACTGTACATACAAATGTTTTGTAACTAGTTTAATCACTGGTAGGCTATGACAACAGCTACTTATATAATTTTAGGAACACATCTAACATGTTAACCCTAAGTTATGCTCAGCCTAACAGAATGGAAAATGAGTGGGTGTAACATGGGTCAAAGTCCTCCAAGACCCTAAGTACACCATTCAAGAGGCAGCCCAAATCTTAATGGCGATACTATTTCCTCGCCAACCAGGCCCGTAAGCCACGCCCCTCGTCTATAGCTTCAAAGAGCCGATTGATTCATGGAAAATGTTCGTGCAGCTGTCAATTTATTCAAACTAAATCTGTTCACAATTGGCAAGCAGACCTGTTATTCTCTAAAATACAGTTAAATATCTGGACTGTCCAAATGCAAATGGTTTCAAGGCATTAGCACCTCAGAGAGGATATTAGAAAAATTTAATTATTTATCATAAAAGGTCAAAGTCAAAGATGAAATTTGCTTTCAAATGAAGTCCTTTCATTATTTCTTTGTTTTGTATCAAGCATAAAGCAAGCAGAAACAAATGATAACAGCTACAGTATTATCAGCTACTCACAACAAGTGCATTCATCATCATCTCACAGCAACACTATCATTTACTCATAGCAAGTGTAGTCTTCTACTCAGTTCTTCCTGACACAAGCTATAAAAATTATAATAGAAATAATTCTTAATCTAATTTGATATATAACATAGTTATGATACACATTGTAATGAAGGTATCTCTCAAGGTCCTACAATTGCAGTTAGCTTTAAAAGTGAACTATATTCATCAGTTTGGTTTTACAACTAGAAAATATTACTGCCCAATATATAATTACTTTCACCGGTTCAGAAAAAATTAAAGGTGTAATTCTAGTTTGAGTACAAAATGTAAAAAGTGGAAAACTATGAAGGACAAAAAATATTCAGATAATTCTGTAAGGTTTATGCACAATTAGTTAATAAAAGAGTAGAGCCAGGGGCAACAGAAAATTTAAGGCTTTAGCATCCTTGGGTACTGCCTATATACACATTGTGCTTTTTTCAAACATCACCGGAGCAACTTCTGACACATATTTCCCAAACTTATTATTTTAGAGATTTTCACACTGTGCTCCTCAATATTCTTCAAAACCTATCATCAAAATATTACCTTTGTATCATATGAGGTAAGCTTTTAAAAGAATACAGTACTGTACAATTAAAAATTTCCATTAAAATGGGGGAGAGGAATCACATACTTATGTATACTAACAAGGATGTTCCTCAAATGCAAAGCTCTTTAATTTGCAGAATTTTGTACTTATCCCATTTGTAAATAAAACAAACATTTCCAGATCCATCCATTTTATCTTTGTACAGTTTATAGTGATAGGGCAGTTTGGAGGCTAGCCTTATTGAGGGAAGCTCCTGAGGGGGGTGTGGCATTACAAATAAAAACTTTGAGTGGTAGTATATCACAGCAATATATTGATCACTATAACTATCTTAATTTTATTATATTACAAATAGTTTTATAAAAATCTATCAATAAATACAGTGATTATTTTATATACTGTATTACCACAATGCCACGTGAAACAATTTGGCATCTGTTCCATTTGAATCAGGAAGAATGTCCCTATTTTCTCCAAGTGATGCAAACAAATGTATTCACCAGTGCAATGTTATGAATTAGTTGCTGAAGTCTTGGGTTAAAGTTTCAGCAGCTGTGATAGAGCCTCATTCAATTTGAGTACAGCATTGCCTGTTGAAGAATAAACAATACACAAAAATTATTTATATGCAACTGAAGAGATACAAGACTCCTTCTATTCCCAATTTGCAATTTTGACATAGTACTGTACTGTTCTGGTATGCAACAATCCAATTTGGATCATATCTTAGATTTTTGCAATGTCTGCTTGATAAACAGTACAGTGTTTTATGCCAAGAATTCATGGCAAAAACATAATATCACATATACTTTAATTGCCATGGAAAAAATTTTCAGTTTCAATAATGATACAGGAAAAATACAACAAAACTTTTTACATAAAATTCTGTTCCCAAGAATCTCAGAAAACCACATTTGAAAAAGACTACTGGACAGTGATATTTCCGTTAGTCGGAACAACTGGTTCAGAGCACTTCCGGGGATGAAATATTTCCGGCGAACCAGCCTTATACTTATCACAATCTCCCTAAAAATAAATTAGCTTTCATGTTTATTCAAGACATCTTCAGGTCATGAGACCCACTAATCCCCCACCAATGAAAGGGTAGTACAGCGTACAGTCGTAATATGAGCCCACTAATCCCCCACTTACCTCCACCTGACATTGAGTCAGGTCAGGTCAGGTCAGGTCTCTCCCCCCAAAAAATACTTTAACTTTCATCTTTATTCAAGACATTTTCAAGAAATTCTCTCAATTTTCAATCTAAAAAAATTTGTTCCTAAATCCGTCAATTTTTGGAAATTTCCAGCTTTCGGAATGATTTTCCGAGAAAATTTTAATTCCAGCTATTGGAGGTTTCTGGGTTTGAGGGATTCCGGCTAACGGAGATATTAATGTATTTTGAATAGCACCTTTTGCACTCTTGCTGTGAACAATTGTCGGCAGTGAAGTTTTTGGCCTAGTACTGTATAAGCATTCAATAGTTTCAATACAGTACTTATTCTACACCACATAACTCCATGTAAATACAGTACTGTAGTGGACAAGAGAAAAAATTAAAAGGGCAACTGGCTATGTCTGGAAACATAACCCCTTTTTACAATGGAAATCAATCTTCATTTATACTGGCTTTGCTTATACTGTACTACAACCTCTTCTAGGAATTCAACCCCCAGCATAAATGAGGGGAATCTGTATATGTACACAAATGGACTAGGACAAATAGCTGGCACCACTTAATGAAAACAAACATAACTACAAATTCTAAGTTTCATCACTAACTCATAATAATAATAAAAAACAAACAGAGCATTAGTTTACTTACCTTCTTCCTCTTCTTGATCAGTCATTGTACTGGTCCTAGCTGTTGTCTTTATAACTTTCTCCAGGTAACCTGAAATATTTACAAAACTTGGTACCAGTACACTAATAGAATGAATGCTGGAAGGTTGAATAAGAATGTTTCTGTTTAGTATGATCCCAGCCATGTATGTGGGAACAAAATAAAATGAAGGTTTTATCTTGAAATCCCATTTTATGATCATGCCTGGATTGGGAGACTCATGGATACTGTACTCAACTAAGTTTATAGGTTCAAAACACACGAACCCTCAACATACAGTATATGAGGAGTCTCGATAATTTGCAAAATACAAATTTGCATACTTAAATCTGCGGGTACGGTATCTCTATTACCACCTTGTTTTAAAATTTTGCGGTCAAATATTCATAATTTGTGGTTGAGCACCAACTGCTGCAGTATTTGTTTACATAAGAAATCATAAAAAATGTGGAAATAACATTTCAATACTCCAATGTGATTCAGAAACATAGAAAATATAATATAAAAGTATAAAATAAGTGGAAAGTAGTAAGACTACTGTTTGCGGGGGCAGGGTGGTGGACTGAGTGCCACCCCCTCCTCCCTTCTCAAGCTGAGCCCACCTCTCCGACCTTTTTAATACACGATTGTATGTAATTTCACCATAATCCCATATTATTAAGCTTCGTTTGGTACCGACTTAATAAACCATTATTGTAAAGTACGTACTGTAATAAAAATAATAAAAAACTCGACCCCAGACGTGTTATTGTGTGGCATTAAACTCCTGGTTTTTTGTTGACATAGTGCGGTCAAAGCCAGCCCAGCACCTGCCTGTCTCCATGTTGGTGTACAGGTATTGGCATAACACACACAAAATTATAAGAAGGAAAGGAGCTGTTTATGTAATACAGACCTACTTTTTGCACAATAATATCTATGTGTTACTGTATTTATATATATATATATATATATATATATATATATATATATATATATATATATATATATATATATATATATATATATATATATATATATATATATATATATATATATATATATATATATGTATGTATATATGTATGTATATATATATATATATATATATATATATATATATATATATATATATATATATATATATATATATATATATATATATATATATATATATATATATATATATATATTGCATACGATGTTTCATGTTTATTAACGCAGTTTTGGAATAGTTTATGGGTATTTCTTGGCCTCTGAGACCAAATTAATTATTTCTATTTCAATCATTTATACTAGAAATCGCAAATTAACAATTCACGATATCTTGCGGTACCTAACCCAAAAGACTCCACCGTATACCAGTCAAGATAGAAGTTAATAGTTCTAATTATCTCACATGGATATGCTCTTTGTGACTCTCACTTTACTTTAATATACTGTACAGTAATCCCGTGTTTTTTTTTTTTTATCTTGGTTTTGACCATTCGTGTTTTTTTTGTACTAAAAAATTATATATACAGTACAGTACTGTATATAAAATATCCTTTAAAAACAAAAATTTAAATTTCGCACCATTTTCGATATTCCCGAGTGGTGCGGCAAACAGGCACCACCCTTTCCCTTCCTCAGACACTCGCTGCTCCGAGAAGCCTCAGTCCACACGTGCCTACAGTACTGTGAATGCTACTGTGACTGCGTGAGGGCGAGCAGACGCCTGGACAGCAGGGAGAGGTTGGCAATGCGGGTGTTGCTGACCTCAGCGAAATAATCAGTGTGACCACTGGGCCGTGAGTGGAGAGCATGGTGTGGTTAAGTGCATGACCTACCTGAGCTGTTGGTGGCCACAGGTACAGTGATTCCTAAAAGAGTATTCGCAGTTTTGGCTTTTCGCGGGGGTTTCAGGAACGTAATTCCCGCAAAAAACACGGGATTACTGTAGTGTCATTTTTCCAGGTCAATCTGCAGTTTCAAACCATCAGTGTTACCCATTGGGAGGTGGAGGGGTAACTGAGCCTCTGGATTCATGTTTGGGGACCCCCAATTAGGGAAGACAGAGCCAAAATACGCTACAAATATTGATCATCTTTATCATCACTTTTTCATGACCATTTTTCACATTTGCATGGATTAGCAATGATTACAGTACCTGATGACATACAAACAAAAATAATAATAATAATAATGGTGGCCTACAATTTGATAGCAGTTTTTATTCATTCAGGCAGTGACTAATTTAGGTCTTTGCCTAAGCCCAAATCACCCACTGTAGGTGTTCACTCTAGGAATCTACTGTACTGTACTTAAAGATAGATTTGTCTTGCAGGAAGGCCAATAGAGACATAATGCCTCGAGGCCCTGCCCCCAAGGAATGCAAACTGGCTGTTTAAATTTTATGAAATAGAGATCTAAACTCAAGTTGCTACACACTTTAACCTATGGTACAATAACTATAAAAGCTGATGAAAATTATTTGTAACCATAAGTTAAGAATGAACTACAGGTTGTACCTCTCTAGTCCGGCATTCTGTGGTCCGGAAACTCCCGTGGTCCGGAACGATTTTTATTTGTCCAATAGGTAGATAGGCAACTTTTTTCTTTTTTTTTTTACTTATCTGAATTATTATTATTATTATTATTATTACAGGAGTATTAAATTTTTGCCCCTCAGGCCCCAATGTGGGTCAGTGACCTATGCCCGGGGCTAATCCCCGTAAAAACAACAACAACAAAGCCGCGGGAAATTAAGGTTTGTTTACATCCGGCAGTTCGGCTGCTCTCTCTCTCTCTCTCTCTGCTTGTTTATACAGAGTACAACATTTAACCCTTCAATATATATGAGCAGTAAATAAGTGTTGCTTTCATATTCTTATGTAGAGTAATGACGATATGTTTTCACATGTGCGCACTTACATACGCGCAGTCTCACTTTTTTTTTACCATTAATGGTTAGCTACTTATATTGTTCCATTTATTAACATTAAATAACATTACAGGTACTTCAAACAACCATATTATTTTTTTTACATTAATTTTACTACAGCTACAATCAGGGTCTTATTTTCTTCAGTTTTATATGTAGAACCAATCAGTCACTGGTTTTGTAAGCTTTAACATAAACAATGCCGGCAGCCTTCTTGTCTTCTCGTGTGTTTTAATATTCCACGTATTATTAATAAATTGTATTGTTAATTTTGCACACACAAACATTAATTCAATAAAAACAAATTCAGAAACATTAATTAAAATATATATGAACAGTAAATAAGTGTTGCTTTCATATCCTTATGTAAAGTAATGACGATATGTTTTCACGTGTGCGCACTTACATACGCGATCTCTCTTTTTTCTTTACCATTATCGTTAGCTACTTCTATTGTTCCATTTATTAATATTAAATAACATTACTTAAAACAACCATATTAATTTTACTACAGCTACAACCAAAGTCTTATTTTCTTCAGTTTTATGTGTAGAACCAGTCAGTCACTGGTTTTGTAATCAACGAAAACAATGCTGTGTCATTTCCCCATGTGTTTTAATATTCTACGTATTATTAATGAATTGTATTGCTCATTTTGCACACAAACATTAATTCAATAAAAAAGACATTCAGTAATAAACAATAATGAATCTTTTGTACATAAGAGAAATGACGCTGTTTACAAGATTATGCACGTCGTCTGCACGTTGGCGGGCCGTTCAAACCCGTCGAAATTCAAGTTTCCGCCATCAAAATTTGTAATTTTTTTTTGTATGTTCCAATAAAATACGTTGAATTAAAAACTCGCGAAATTTGAGAAGCTACTATACGACATTTAACCCTTCAATATGTCTTAAAAGAGACCATGATGCAGAGAAAGTGCTGCTAGTGCTTGCAAGCATAAGCACAAGTCACTATCTATCCAGGAAAAGGGTGAATTTCCATGGTCCGGCAATTTCCATGGTCCGGCACCGGTCAGGTCCCGAGGTTGCCGGACTAGAGAGGTACAACCTGTACCATCACCAAGGAAAGTGAATAGTGAAAAAAATTCAAATTTCTAAGCCAGGAAACAAATGTTATCATGCCAAAAACTAGGTGTCTCATTCACACTAGGTTGCTACCTGAAGGTTAAATCCAACCCAAACATGTCGGGATCTGGACCACACCAGATTAGGATTTGAAGTCCTAAAATCAAGGAATACATAAAGAACAGGTAGCTACTTTAGTATTGTACTGTACCCTCATGTCACCTATGAATACCATCAACCCTCTGGAAAGAGGCCAGTCCCTTTTCATATCCTACTTTTTGTACTTCTCATGGACTTTGTTTTTAATGAAATTAAAAACTGGGGACTCACCTAACATACGTGTAATTTCTGGATGGATTATTTTGTCTAGTCGTTCAGATTCTTGTGCAGCAGCAGACTGTTTCTTAACTTTTGAACATTTAGTGGCAGCACTTGCTATGGCTGGCAACAGGTCATTTTCTATCCACTCCTCACCCAACCATCGAGCCAAAATAACAATGCTCGTTACCAGATTAAGGACAAGGGTCTTGTCAGAAGTACCTGTAACAAAAACATATTAAAACTGTTTCTATAAAAAGATGTACGGTAAACCCTCGATAATGTAAACTTAACTTCATTAATTCCTGTTTGCCCCATAGTTTTGGAGTTATAACACACAACAGTTGGGGTTGGAATGTGATGAAATCTATGGAGTATAAATGAAATACCCAGTGTTGCTAATATGTACTGTACAATTTACTTACAATCATATGCAAAATGATATGGATCAGTAAATGTTAAAACTTCCAACCCTCTGCCTGAATGCAGGCTTCAGCCCATTGCAAAATACATTTGAAGACTCCAAGGGTGTTGCGAATGCTTGTGGCACTGTCTTCCAATCGGTGCCACAATTCCTCTCTGTAGCATACACTTTGCTTTTAATGTGACTGCCATAAGTAGAAGTCAAGGGAAATTTAGGTCAGCTGATCGAGATGGCCATGCCAGGATACCCAACATTTAGGAACTCTATTGTTACTTGAGCAAAATGAGCTGGGGCACCATCAAGCATGTAACACAGTTGTTGATATATCCTGATGGGCACATCCTCAAGCATCATTGGCACACTGTCCTCAAGAAAATGTCTGCATGTCCATAGACTTGTTGCAGTTTTTCCCTATCCATTTTGTGATATCCAGCAACTCCAAAACCATGGGGTATTGACACTATGGTCATGGAGTCATTTATCCTTATGTATGTCTCAGGAATACACCCCCCAAATTATGAAATGTATTTCTGAAACACCTTGTATATATTATACAGTATGAACTTTTTGTAAAATTATTCCAGTTTACTTAGACGATAATGATACCCTGTACTATATAGTTGATTTGGATTCTATATATATAAATTAGGACATAACAGAAAGTTATGGATAAGAACAGTGGCATTAAAATAGAAGCTGATAAATGGAACATTGTATGCAATTATTTTCTTTGCAGTATGAAGTCCCTCTACCCGCTAATGTAAAACAAATCACAAAAAATGAAGTTTTACATTTCCACATTATTTAATTACTAGAATATGAATGTTCAAAAACAACATTAAAATTATATTGTGACTTTACCTTACCTTGATACTTCCACTTAGCATATGTTAAGAGATAAATAGAGGACTGATCCTTATTTTTTCTATTAGAATCAGAAGCCACGCAGGTCTCATATAACTGGGCATCTACATATGGCTACTTGAGTCCATAAGACAGGACTGACTAATGTCAGACTGGGTTAATCTGTTAATTACCTAATAAATAAATTACCCTTCCCTTCCTTTGCACTGTGATTATCCAACTAAGCACTTAACTCTCTGCTGATCAAAATTGTCCGCATTAGCTAAATAAAATATTCAAAGTCTAAAAGTAGCATCCCCACAGTGATGGGGTTAACAGCTCAGGTGACTGCCTTTGCCAACTATATGAATCCAAGCATATCTGATTTCAAGCGAATGAATCAAAATGCAATTAGGATAAGACAATTACTCACACTTCAGTTCCTGCTGACTAGTCATGAAACAAAAAAAGGAGGGAGGGTTTCCAAGTTACCTGAGTTTGGGTTTTGATAGAAAATTGATTTTAAGATTTATCCTCTATTCATGATGATGATGATGAAGAGAGGATAGATCCTCTATTCCTAGAATTAATGCTAAGCCAGGTGGCTCTCCCAACATTAAATCAGCTAAAACTAAGAGGAAAGCTGTGCTATAAAACACTTCAAGGTTGGACAGTAAAACACCCTCCATAGTGTAAACTCATTGTAATTACTGGATTGGGAATTCAATACTCCATACCTCTTTTACTGTACAGATCTGGCATTACCATGAATCCTACTACAAGGATCATCTTTGGAATCCAGAGACCACATGAACATCTGATGATACACATCCTGACAAAGATGGAGTGAATGATGTCTTTCATAGGGCAACAGTGTATATACCATAGAGGTCAGGAAAAAAAGGGATCAACCAGCATGCACCAAAAGCCAGAAGAAACCAAACAAACAATTATACCTGCTAGCTGGGTAAGTAGATCTCTAGCCAAGTGAGCTGGGTCGGGTGATGGTGGCTTGTGAACATTACACCTCTGACTCAGCCATTTCACAAGCTCTTCACGAACACTAGCACAACCAACCCACATCCCATGGTGTGCCACCCACAACAACACCTTCTCTAAGCCTGTGGTCACTGTTGAATATAAAAAGAAATAAAAGGTCTTCAAATACAAAATATATTTTTTGTCTTCAGGATCTGATTTGTGATGGGGTAAAGGCAGAACAGTACATAAGGGAGAGAGAACAAGATGTGGAACATATAAGGGAATAGAGATCAGAGGAAAATGTTACGTAGTCTAGTCAGGAGACTACAATCCCAGAGGAGCTCCAGAGCAAAGTGAAGTGTTGCATATAAGAAAATCAAATATTATATACAGCATTGGAAGAATTTTGACAGAGAGAGTAATAACTGCCAAGTACAGTGTATATGATATCAGTAAATGGATATGGAATCTGAGAAGGAATCTTGGCTCCTTGTAGTGTGGATGAAAGACTACTAAGTCTGTCTTATGGGAGCAGCTGGTGGATGAGAGTTTAATAATGTGGTTATGAGAGAGAATTTAAAAAATGTGAAAGTGAATCACCTCAGCTTTTCAATTAATTTCCACTATACATACAGTAATTATATTACATGTAAAATTTACCAAAGCAAAAGACAATACCATATAAAGACTTGCCTCTGTAATTGATTATACGAATAAATAATTTCCGATTGATAGAGGCTGCTGACAGGAGAGCGAGATGGACTGCCCCTGGACGATGGAAGAGCAAGTCAACTAAGAATGCCCGAGCTGGCTGCCACTGCTGAATTCCACTCTCATCAGGTATTAATACTGTTGCAGCATACCATGCAGATAAGCTAGCCAGGCAGTGTGGCTGTGCAGGAACATCATTATCAGTTTAAAGATACAGTAAGGAAATAAAACCAAAATTTTGAACAGGAACATTGGATCAAAACTACAAAGGTGAAAATAAATCTATTATAGTTTACAATGCATCATGTATAACTTGCATTTTACAAATATTATATAATTAGATATATAACTGAGGTATCAATCATCAGTAAAACTGACTTTCCCAGGAAATACATGCAGTACAGTACTTAGAAATCTGATACAGTAACTGGGTTTAGTCAACATTATATTAAATCCAAATCATGTTACATTTCTATATGGAAATCACGTTATTAAGTCTAGCTCAGTCAGATAATTTTCTAAAATCTGCTTCTTCCAAGAATCTACACTAAGAAGTAATACTTTCTGTGACACCATGTCTCCTCCCCAACACCCCTTCACCCCTACAGTTGCTACATCAGGAGTAAACATACAACTTACTTTTCTCTTCAAAAATTCTATGGTTTGTATGCTGACCTTGTTTACTCCATATTAATGGGCTAAGTTACATCAAGTTATGATAAAGTAAGTTAGATAAGTTATACCAATTTCTAATTGGATGAATAATGGGACTCAGTGCTAATGTGTCCAAGTGTTAACGTGCATGGAGTACAGTATAATGGGCACCATGCATAATAGGTTCCACTCTGAATGAAATCAGTTTTAATGTTTATTAATCTTGATAGCACATCCTTAGCTTAAAATCGTTTTTGAATTTTCATTAAATTGATTTCTTATCAGGATTAGGATCCATTGGACCCTAAATACCAATGAAGCCCCAAATTTAATGGAACTTTAAGACTGGGATTCATTTAAAAATTTCTACTGAACTTTGGGTCTCACTAGGAAATAGGGCCCAATAGGCCCTGAACCTAATGGTGTAGATCTGGTGCAAGTACTGGGGGATTGTTTTTACCCAAATCAAAGAGTTTTACAGTAGTGTTTAGAACAACATTGGAACCCTGAAGTATGTTTTTTTCTTGTGCTGTGATGACTGTTTTAAGGTCAGGATAAAGAAGAGCGGTATGATGAAAAGCACAGAAATTCTGATCCAGGGAATTCTTTCTTGAATTTTAACAGTCTATACTTATCATAAGAATTTTCAATGATGAATCTGCACATAAAAATTTATGAAAAGAATTAAAAGTTGTTCATCTATCAAATTAGTCCATTCTGCAACAAAATAAGGTTAAACCTGAAAAAAAAACTACCTTTAAAGGTTTGGGGGACAAAAATCCTGGAAAGACAGAGGTGGGCTGTCATAACGAATGTAACAAGTAAGAGGCATAATTACTCATGCATGGACGTATATACAGTACAGGGTATTCTTAAAACTTACCCTTAAATTGATGGATGGATTACAAATCAGGCTGTGAATTATTTTTTTAGTGATATTCCTCAGGTAAAATGGTGGAAGATCCATCCGTATCTCCACAATACACATGACCTGGAACAGCTTGTACATCGATGGAGAAAGGCCCCCCACAAATTCCTTGGGCTCGGTGGGATCAGCACGGAGGATGATTTCAATGAAGTTCCTAGAGATACAAGAGTCTTGCTTCACAAACTAGTTCTCATTAAACTCCATCAACTCTTCTTTTCAACCCCATTTGCAACACAAGTTATTCTCTATTATGATGCCCTTATTCTGTGCATGTTCCTTTCAGTCAAACCACATCATTATCTACCTCAGTCCATGTACTCGTCAAGTACAGAACTTCCTTCCACGTACAACCTATAGCTCTTTAAGCATTCAGTATAAAACCACTTTTTATCACTACAGTACAATATTTGGTTAAGTACAGTACATTTTTACTACCAAGCTGACAAAACTTTCATCCCTAGCATGAACTGAACTGTACACGCATCTTTTCATTATTTCACATAAATTTTCTCACCATTTTCTCTATGCTGTAATGTCATTACTGTTAGTGTTTTCCCAACTCCCCATTTCATGCGGAGAAGTGTAAGTTACCCGTTGATGTACAAATCAGCCATCTGAGACAACATAAGTCATTTGTCTGGTAAAGTATAAGTCATCCATTGAAGTAAAATAAATTACCCATTCAGGAAGTATAAATTATCTATTGAAGTTACAGTGAAGAATTATATTACATTATTGAAATATAAGTTACATTACTGAAGAATTAGTTACAGTACAGGGTACAAGAGAAGTAAAAAAAAAATTGTTCAGTAAAGTATAAATTATTCTAAAGAACTATGGTTTAGTGAAAAATTACATTATAAAAATGAAGTAGTACAGTACTGTATATGAAATGAAGAAGTGCATGTTTCATTAATAATTTGTAAATTTCATTTTAGTAGTATCAATGTGTATTCTGTGCTGGCCAAACTGGTTCCTGACTGAGTTAGCACATACATAGCATTCACAAAGCTCAAGCCCAACACAGATAGACATATTACTAACACAACCTGCTCCTACTCTTGTAATCTATCTACATATCTATTTTACTTGTTCAGTAAAAGTGACAACAAAGTGGCTTCATTTCAACATTCTTAAAAACCAACAAAAACTCACCTTATAATATATACAAGACTAGCAGTTGTGAGTGAAGTGCAAACTTCGTGAATGAGGGTATGCCATAGTTTGGTATTGATTCTACAACCGATCAAGTCATAAAGTATTTCCAAATAATTACAATCTGAAAAGAAAATATCTATATAATATTTGAAGTGTGTAATGGGGCTGTTTCAAAGTATGTATGTGTGCAAGTTTATTATATAATATATTGTTCTTCAGTAACTCTCTGTGGGTAAGACTTAAAGGTATGTGTGAGTCAACACATGTGTCTACATATTAACAAGGTACAGTATTAGTTTATAAAAAAAAAATATGTGACTAACAATCTCAAATCTTATAATGTATGAAATAACAATAAGTAGTGTACAACCAGAAAACATCCGACTTCGTATAAACTAACTTGCAACTAAAATAACTTAGTAAAAATTACTGGTACACAATATGAACCCGAGAAAAATTCACTTTGTTTACTAACCTTCTCCACCCGGTTGTAGTGCAGTTTCAAGGGCTTGCATGAGGTCTGTATTTTGCCGCACAACCGACACTTTTATTTCAGGTATTGTTACAGCACTAGCATGTGCTGGATGGTCATGTATTATCTGCTTCTCAGACATATTATTTGTAAATTCCAACTTTCTATGTGTGGGCTGAGTTTTCTGGGGGTGAACAGGTGCTGAATGTCTGTCTGTCAGATCCTTTACATTGTCATTAGTGTATGACTGTTGAAACTGTGCAACATTTAGACTACCATAGAGATTTGGTGGTGGAGGAACATTTCTAACTGAAGTAGTATCTAATCTACTTGCAGCAGGATATCCAGGTGACAAACTATGAGCATCACAATATGGTTTTGATCTAGATTGACCAATATTTTCTTTACTCTCCAGGTTTCCCTCTTTATATTTAATATCTTTTGGTGGAGGATTTGATATACTGTTCACTAAGGTATGTGGCTGGTGTGAAGACACAACATTCTGATTTTTGCTACCATCTTTTGACAGACTGCCACTAGAAATATTCCATTTAGCATCCTTACTCTTTCTTGCAAAGAGATTATCAACAAACCCAGTAGATGCTGGTATATGAACCCGCTGAGGTGCTGCTGCTGTCACTGCTAGCTTTGGCCTTGGTTTAACTCTAGGTCTATCCAAACTTCCAATTCTTGCTAGTGTGCCCACAAGACCAGGATGTAACACTTTTGATGATTCATCTTTAGATCGAGTACAATCTACCTCAAGAGTTTTGAACGTATCCTGAGAATTACTGCCATAATCTTTCTCTTGTAATGTACTGTCTTGGTTAGACAACACTTTATCACAAGGGTTGTCGAAATAATTGTCTATTTGAAGCTCACCTTCACTATCACTAGAGTAAAACTCAGGTAGTATTTGAAGTTTCTTTTCTTTTTCTTGTGTACAAACAGGCGCTTCTGGGGTCTGAGTTAAATCACAATTCTCAGTTGTTTTTGATCGGGCTTCCTCTGGTTTTGAAGGGGTAACTCTCAAATGTGTCAAATTCCCTTTTCTTTGGTATTTTGCTTTATTTGGTGGAGTAGAATCAAGCAGTATTGTTGTGTGTTTCTTTTGGCTCCTCATGTGAATTTCACTTAACCCGGAAGTTACTTTATATGCACTCTCATTTTTTACGAAAACATGGCCAATTTTACGATTACAACTATTAACTTTCATTGATGTCTTATTTTTTCCGAGACCTTTTTCAACTTTTGCTATTTCCTCATCGCTACTTGTTTCACCAGTGATATCAGATAAATCAAATTTAGGGTCACTGTCACTTGAGCTTTGGCGACACCTAGAACTTGGCTGCCTGATTGGAAGTTGGCTGCTTCCTCTCTTGTGTCCTTTTTTTCCAATAGAAGCTTTACCAGATGGCTGAGGTTGTTCCCTTCTATCCTTGAAGTTTTTATTTTGTGCTGCATTTAATTTCTGTCCCTTAGAAGGAACACCTGATGACTCAATTTTTAATTCATCTGAGTCACTCATTACAACACAGGACTTATGTTTTTTCTTAAAACTTTTTACACTTTCTCGAGTATCTGAAAAATTAGAAGCTGAAGATTCTATACAAAATTTATTTTCATCCTCTGAATCTTCAGTGGAAAAATAATCTTTAGATTTATTTACCTTTGCTTGGCTTAAAATTTCCCGGCCATTAATAGAATTTACACGAGTGCTACCAGAGGACTTTTTATAACTTTTGTGATTACTAATTTTTCGGCTCACAATTGTGTTTTTACCGATATCCATTCTGCTGAGAGATAAGTCTGAAGAACTGCTCCTCTTATTGTTGCTTTCACTCTGTTGATAATTTATGATTTTACTTGATTCCTTAGTTGCTGACTTTTCGGGAAATCTTATTTTCCTTGCTACACGGCTCATCGGGGCCCCTTCCTCACTCCCTTTCCTTCTCTTGTTCCTTTGGTTCTGTTCTTCATTCACTGATGGTGAGTCATCCAAGCAACTGTTTTCACTTCCAAATAATAAGTTGTGAGAAAACTTTCTCTTAGGTGAATATAACTCAGGATTCTTTCTCTGTCTGGTGATCCTCTTATTTGTTCTGTCATCTGGTGAACATTGCAGCCTTTTCTCCGGACTATTTCTTAATACTGGTGTTGGCTCTTTATTTAATCTGTGTTGTATTTTATTCTTTTCAGAAAAATTTGTTTCTTTACATTTTCTCTTAATGACTTTAGATTCACTAATTTCTCTTTTCCTGGTTCTTTCAACCCTACCTTCTTTCTCTATATCTGTATCATCAGCTTTCCTCTTAGTATTATACCATTTCTTCATACTTCCATTCTCATTGTTCTCAGCAATATCAATGATGTCGTTCACAGGAGTTTCATCTGGTCTGAATACATCCCTCTCTGAGGTCCAATTACGATTTTCAATGGTATACACATTGTGGGTTTGAATTCTTGATGGATATGAGACATATGCCAGTTTGCCCTTCAAGAAAAATTTAGTTTTGTTTTGTACAGGAATCCTAGCAAATGATTGCAATTTTGGCCCCCAATTAAAAAGCACTTTCTTTGGCTGCCTGGTGCCAGCATGAGCAGGCATCTTTGTCCCACGGTCTTTAGATTCTGATTCAAGAGATCTTTCCTTGGTGTTATCTATTAAAAGATCTGACATGTTTTTTATAGACAGAACAAGTGAACCTTTCCCATGTGCACGAATTGGCTTTTCCTCTTCCTCACCGTTGTTTAACATGGGACAAGTGTCTTTAACAGTCAATGCATTATCTATAACCTTCATACAAGACTCCTTATCTGTTCTTTTTCTACTGGTTTGGAATTTTTTATTTATTTCTTCTTGAATACCAATTTTTTTATTCTGCAATGCTGCAATTCTTATACTGCTTCGTCGGAGTCTTTTTGTCTCAATGCCTTTGTCAGCTTCACTAACACTCTCTTTTGTGAAGTGAGTGAGTTTACAGGATGCTTCAACACAATCACCACTGTTTTTACTGGGTGGTTCATCGTGTTCTTGAATATCAGTTTGGGATGGTTCATCGTGTTCCTGAATATCAGTTTGGGATGGTTCATCGTCTTCTTGAATATCAGTTTGGGATGGTTCATCGTGTTCCTGAATATCAGTTTGGGATGGTTCATCGCGTTCCTGAATATCAGTTTGGGATGGTTCACCATGTTCCTGAATATCAGTTTGGGATTGTTCATTGCATTCCTGAATATCAGTTTGGGATGGTTCATCGTGTTCCTGAATATCAGTTTGGGATGGTTCACCATGTTCCTGAATATCAGTTAGGGATGGTTCATCTTGTTCTTGAATATCAGTTTGGGATGGTTTATCGCATTCTTGAATATCAGTTTGGGATGGTTCATCGTGTTCCTGAATATCAGTTTGGGATGGTTCATCGCATTCTTGAATATCAGTTTGGGATGGTTTATCGCATTCTTGAATATCAGTTTGGGATGGTTCATCGCATTCCTGAATATCAGCTTGGGATGGTTCACCGTGTTCTTGAATATCAGTTAAGGATGGTTCACCATGTTCCTGATTATCAGTTTGGGATGGTTCACCATGTTCCTGATTACCAGTTTGGGATGGTTCATCGCATTCTTGAATATCATTTTGGGATGGTTCACCATGTTCCTGAATATCAGTTTGGGATTGTTCATTGCATTCCTGAATATCAGTTTGGGATGGTTCATTGCATTCCTGAACATCAGTTTGGGATGGTTCATTGCATTCCTGAATATCATTTTGGGATGGTTCACCATGTTCCTGAATATCAGTTTGGGATGGTTCACCGTGTTCTTGAATATCAGTTAGGGATGGTTCGCCGTGTTCCTGAATATCAGTTAGGGATGGCTCACCGTGTTCCTGAATATCAGTTAGGGATGGTTCATCGCGTTCTTGAATATCAGTTAGGGATGGTTCACCGTGTTCCTGAATATCAGTTTGGGATGGTTCATCTTGTCCTTGAATATCAGTTTGGGATGGTTCATCGCATTCTTGAATATCAGTTAGGGATGGTTCACCATGTTCTTGAAAATTAGCTTGGGATGGTTCACCGTGTTCCTGAATATCAGTTAGGGATGGTTCACCATGTTCTTGAATATCAGTTAGGGATGGTTCACCATGTTCTTGAAAATTAGCTTGGGATGGTTCACCGTGTTCTTGAATATCAGTTAGGGATGGTTCACCATGTTCTTGAATGTCAGTTTGGGATGGTTCACCGTGTTCTTGAATATCAGTTAGGGATGGTTCACCATGTTCTTGAATATCAGTTAGGGATGGTTCACCATGTTCTTGAAAATTAGCTTGGGATGGTTCACCGTGTTCTTGAATATCAGTTAGGGATGGTTCACCATGTTCTTGAATGTCAGTTTCGGATGGTTCACCGTGTTCTTGAATGTCAGTTTCGGATGGTTCACCGTGTTCTTGAATATCAGTTAGGGATGGTTCACCATGTTCTTGAAAATTAGCTTGGGATGGTTCACCGTGTTCTTGAATATCAGTTAGGGATGGTTCACCATGTTCTTGAATGTCAGTTTGGGATGGTTCACCGTGTTCTTGAATATCAGTTAGGGATGGTTCACCATGTTCTTGAATGTCAGTTTGGGATGGTTCACCATGTTCTTGAATGTCAGTTTGGGATGGTTCATCATTTTCTGCCTCAAATTTCTTAAGTCTCCTTGTACTGTGTCTAAAATTTTTCCATCTTGTTCTCTCACTATTGGAACCCAGATTCTCTTCCTGCAATCTATCAGTTATGACACAATCATTACTCTTAATAGATTCCTTGACAAAGACTTTGTGATTTAATCTGTCCATTGTTGACAAAGCTGAAAAAATTTCTTGCTCTTCAACAGTTGAGTTGGAGAGCTGCCCGTTGTTGTGATCACTTTTGTGAACATCACTACTTTCAGTTAACTGACTTGAATACTCAATACCTGTGCTTCTGTCTTTTTCAATTATCACATTTATATTATCAACAGCTTTTACTGTTTCAGCTTCAGCATTGCCAGATCTACCAACAGCTGTAAAAACTTTCTGATCTGAAGAATATGAAGCTTCAACACTTCTACTGTGCATAGCCTGAACAAAAGAGTCATTTGGTTGATCATGTTCATTAACAACATGACAGGTATTATTTTTAGATAATCCAGCTGGTTCTATGTCAAGACTACAATCTGCACCTTCAATAATATTCTCAGACACCGTGTTGCCACTGTTAACCTGCCAGCTTTCATCTTTTGTTTTCATATCACTGGTGCCATTCTCTGATTGGACTTGCTGCTCCATCAATAAGCCACCAATGTTTACATCATCTGATATTCCTTTCGCTACATTATCTTCTCCATTTATTATTTCTTTCTTATCTATAATTTGTTTGTTGCCTGCTACTTCCAAAAACAGTGGTCGATTCAGCACCTTTGAAGGACTCTTTTGTTTGCGTTTTTTATTTTGATCAGCATTCAGCTTTTTCAAAGCAGTAATTCTACTACTGCTTCTGTTTCTAATCTTCTGTGTGGTTACACTTTCTTCCTGGGTAACAAGCACACAATTACCTTCAGCATCTTGACTCCTGGTTAAAACTTGAACACAAGTCTTCATTCTGTCTTCACCCAAGGCCAATGTCTGATGTTTATCTTCATAACATATATCAATATTATCTTTACTATCTATCACATCTGCATCCTCACAATTTTCCTGACTTGTAGACAAAGGATTTTCAAGTGATGGTAGATCACCCTTTGAGGAGGAGGAAGAGGGTGATGATAAAGGCTGCTGTAGCTCTGAAGATGACAACAATGGAGATAGAAGTTGCAGGTGATTGATGAATAATAATGATGATGATGATGATGATGATGATGATGATGATGATGATGATGACAAATCTTGCTGAAGATTGGAGGGTGTGGATGATGAAAACAAAGGATGCTTCTGCTTTGAAGATGACGATGGTGGTGGTGACAAAAATGACATTTGATTGGAGGATGACAATGGTGACCAAAATTTTTTATTTGAGGGTGAGGATGATGGAGACAAAGACTGCTGTTGACTGGAGGGAGAGGATGATGATGGTGATGAAAACTGGTGGTGCTTTGAACATGAAGATAATGGTGACAAAAGTTGCTGGTGATTGAAGGTTGAGAATAAGGAGGCTATCGGAAGTTGATGTTGATTGGAGGATGATGAAGGTGAGAATGGTGATGGAAGCTGCTGTTGCTCTTTCATATTCTGGTTGTTATCTTGGTAGGTGGGACATGAAGGACTGCTTGCCACCAGCTCTCTATCAACAAGTGCAGTGTCATCATCCATAGTTTTCACCAAAAAGTTTTTTCCTTTGTTGTTCCCTTGAGTTTCATTAAGAGCACCCATATCTTTATCTTGGCTTCCAATATCTTCATTCTCTGAGGAAGGAACTGTGTCTTTCCCTTGTTCTGCAGTGACCATGTCTGCACCTTCAACACTTCCATGTTTCTCATTGTTTGTATTCTTTTCACTTCCTTGTTTTTCATCAATAATGTTTGCATTTTCAATATTTTCTTGTTTTATACTAGCAATGTCTGCAACTTTACTATTGCTTCTGACGTTTCCTCTGTCACATTTAGCTAAAACATCACTCTTGCATTTTCTGTCGCTACCTTTAGTTTGTGCATGAGGAAGCATTATCTCTCTCATGGTCAGGCTTTCTTGATGTTCTAACACATTCCTCACAACACCCTCATTACTAGTTAAGGTTGTACTTTCTTGAGAATCACCAGAGTCATGACTGCTCTTTCCAGCTTTTCTATCCTGTGTTTTTTCTGACTGCCTATTCTGACTGTGTAGTTTCTGATAAGCTGAGTGAATTTTGTTAATTTTATCAAGTACACAGTTTGCTTTCTTACTTTCATTTACCTGATCCTCTTTTACTGAAATATCCTCATGCATACTTTTCTCTGCCTCGGGTGTATCAACACAATTTGGAGAACTAAACAGTTGCTGCGCATTCTTTACAGTTGTAACCTGTGTTTCACTGTTGGCTGTTATCAAGTCATCTTCACCTGAGTCATTTATGATACTGTAGAGTTGCCGAAGGTCTTGAAGTTTGGGTTTATGGTAATTAAGTACAGCTTCATTATTCTCATGTGCAATATTAGCATCATTATTAGAATTATTGTTCTGAGAATTAGCATATGATTCTGAATTGTTCTGTTCTTTATCTGATGGGGTACACAAACCATCTGACAACTTCATTTCAAAAGGAATTTTAGCAAATTCGCTGGAGCATTTATCCTTACCTATACTCTCATCTACTGTTTCTATCACTGCTGTTTCCTTACATGCACCAGGAGATTCTTCCTTTGCTAAGAGGTCTGTGGTACTTGCAGTGACCTTAGTAAAGGACTTATCTTGTATATCATCATCATCAAAAGAGACACTCTGAGTAGACTGATATCTTTGAAGCCACCGAGTACTTTTCTTCATCTTCAATATTTCTTTGTCATCATGATCATCTGAATCAGATAGCTCTAAATCATTGTCCATGCTGTCTCCATTCTCCTGTGTAATTCCTGTAATTGAAAAACCTTCAGATAACTGTGATAAAAGTTTCTTAGGTGGCTCTTTACAAAAATCATCATCATCATCAGAATCACTTATAGGGCCAAGTATATCATCAACATCATAAATATTCTCTTCAGTTTTAAGAATATTACTTCCTGTCCCATTCTTCCCATGCTTTCCTAAAGACAGTGATTCTTCAAAGTCTTGCACACTAAATGAACTATCTAAGCAGTCTAACTTGTCAGGTGGCTTCATGTCATTCAAGATTTTCCTGATGATGTCCTCACCACCACTATCCAGATGTTCATAAGAGGTGTAGTGACCCAAACTACTTTCCATTGACATTTCTTCATGCCCAAGGTTCTTTGAATTGTTTCCAGCTTGATTATGGGCAGATTTTTCTTTCTTTTTGCATGAAGTTTCATTATTGGTGGAACTGATATTAGTGGCATTTAGTTGATTATTGTTCTCAAGCATTGGCTTCTCTACTCTTACAGCTGTTCTGTTACCTAAATTAGGATTACTATGCATTAAAGAACTATCAACAACATTATCCTCATCATCTGAAGAATCCATTATTGATGGTACTTTCTGCAGTTTCTTTTTATCTCTTCTACTCTTCCTTTGCATTTTGGAAACATGAGTTTTCTTTCTTGGTTTTTGATAAGGAGCTTTTACTTCAGAATTCCCTTGATTTATAATCTTTAAGGAACCTTCCACAGCTGCATTCTTTTGCTGATCTTGTTCTGCTGCAGGTGACCTTGAGTCAACACCCTTAGAGGTGAGGTGCTTTTTGTGTTGATCATTCTGCAGCTCTTCTTCTTCTTCTCCACTTCTTACTTCATCACCCCTAGTAGCTAATATTAATTTATCAAGTTGTTTGGCTTCTTTTGCAAGTATAATTTGGGGAACATCATCAATGTCCTCAAAATCATCATCATCCTCTGCTTCTTCAAAGTTATCAAGCCAACTTTCTAGGGAAGGCAACCAAGCAATTTCATCTATAGATACATCAGTTTCCTTAAGCATTTTCTGTTTCTTGATTAGCACATCGTACCGAGAATGAAGAGAACTTTCACACACTTTCAGAAGAGCCTGTAGACGTTTCCATTTGGTAGATGTCAGGCCTTCTGGTAAATACCCTGTAATGAAAGATGGGGTTTAATACATAAAGGAATACTGTATCTTAAAATATACTCAACAAAAACAGGTACAGTATCCTCCTATTTACAATAGGGTTGAGTTCCTGAAAACCCTAATGTAAATCAAAATACAGCAACATAAATCAAGACCCTTTTAAAATGGGCTTCAATGGGATTCCAGACCTGTTCAACACACACAAAAAAATTATCCTATACAGTATTCACTAAAAAAAAAATAAAAATAAACAACACTCACCACGCACATAATAAAAATTATCCTCGCAAATTCGTGCTAATTGGTATCCACCATGGACAACTTTCCAAAAGTACGAATTTGTGGAATAAGCATTAAAAATATAGGAAAATTTATAATCATATGCTAAAAAATTAAATCCAAATTGGAAAGTTCTTTAACACTTACTCCACTCTATATAAATGATGTGGTTCAGAGTTAAACGATTTAGTGAGCACAAGGTTAGCTTAATTTTAATAAATTTCAAATTGTATATGTACATAACTGCTATGATAAATAATAACATTGTTTCATGCTTCACCATAACATATCATAAAATACAATTTCATATATTTTATGTACAAAAAGTAGCCCACTCCACACTCAAACTATTCTCTGGTTGATTTGATGCAATTCTGCCAGGCAGTCAACCAGCTGACTCAGAGATGTGTGGCTGCAGTCACGCTGTGCTGCGTGTATGCCACGACATCACATCGAGGAGGGAGCGCAGCTCAGAGGCAACACAGTTACAGCCCACTTCCTTAATACATATGTTCACTTCCCACACATACAGTATATGCACTGATTATTAGGGAGTTCAAGTCCTTAGACTACTCAAGGATGATATAAAATCCTTATGGGCATACTACTCTTGCCGACTGGCCCAACCTAAGTGGCAACAGCCAACAGATGTCCTCTAGGGACAGGCAGCTTCATATTAGCTATGTCTGATGAATCAGAACAATGTGCCCAAAAATATGACTCTACCAACTTGTTCAGGACCAATCTACTACAGTACAAACTCAGTTCGTTGCCAGCTAAGCCCAAAACCCAGAGAGGAGGGAGTACTCAAATCACCTGGCTTCATGCTATGTCAGAAAAGAGAGAGATTTTAAGATAATAAACAATTTCTTCTTACACACTTTACCATATACAGTGCCAGCTAATAAAAAGGGAGGTGTAATACAAAACTCCAAGATCTGTCAGACAAATCCCCTCAATGAGTTAACTCTTCTTTGATATTTCTCTTATATTTTTTTTAACAGAATACAGTACAGGTTATACCTCTCTAGTCCGGCATTCTGTGGTCAGGAAACTCCCGTGGTCCGGAACAATTTTAGTTTGTCCGATAGGTAGATAAGCAGCTCTTTTTTTTTTTTATCTGAATTATTATTATTATTACAGGAGTAATAAATTTTTGCCCCTCAGGCCCCAATGTGGGTCAGTGACCTATGCCGGGTGGGCTAATTACGTAAAAAAAACAACAAAGCCGCGGGAAATTAAGGTTTGTTTACATCCGGCAGTTCGGCTGCTCTCTCTCTCTGCTTGTCTATACAGAGTACAACATTTAACCCTTCAATATATATGAGCAGTAAATAAATGTTCCTTTCATATTCTTATGTAAAGTAATGACGATATGTTTTCACATGTGCGCACTTACATACGCGATCTCTCTTTTTTCTTTACCATTATCGTTAGCTACTTCTATTGTTCCATTTATTAACATTAAATAACATTACTTAAAACAACCAAGGTCTTATTTTCTTCAGTTTTATATGTAGAACCAGTCAGTCACTGGTTTTGTAATCAACGAAAACAATGCTGTGTCATTTCCTCGTGTGTTTTAATATTCTACGTATTATTAATGAATTGTATTGCTCAGGGC